CTAGGCATAACTGAGACTCAGGACCATCGCTCCCCAAGGAGAGAGCATCCAATGCTGCTCACTTGGCCTATTTCCACTCTGTTTAGCAAATGGGTTTGGCAGATCTCAACAGCCACAACACCATATGTCACAACAAAAGCCAGATAATGCTTTGAGCCGCAGTACCACAGTGATGGGCTTATTTTCCACCTTGTGACAAATCAACCAGAAATTCAGAGATTCCAAATACTGAGAACAGTAGGGCCCATATTCCCACATTGCTAATTTACATTTTCCCACTGTGGACACAATCCCCACCTTTCCACTTCTAGTAACTATCTCTCTACCGTGTTCCATTCCCCTTAAATCCAACTAAGGAAAAATCTAATATCTGAAAATCATCTGAAATGTCTTATTTTATTCTTTCAACAAATGTACTAAGCACCTATGTCCAAGACATACAAAGTATGTCTCATACAAGGTATGAGGCCCAAGACATACAAAGTTTAACGATGACAACGGAACACCTCCTGTCCTTGTGGGGTTTACAATCTAACAAATCAGACACCAATCAAACAGACACATCCAAAAGTACAAAGGCATAAAGCAGTAGAGATCTGTGGTCAAGTGAGAAGGGACAACAGCTGGTCTTAATAAAAGAAAATAGAGGATGTTTCCCTGAAGAAATGCAGATAGGCAAAGACCCAAGAGATGACACAGAATTAGCTGGCCAATGAGAAAGGTCATGTATTTTAAGCCTCTGAAACACGTGTACACAAAGCATGTAGTTTTCATTCCAAATGCTTAGATCAGGGCCACAAGGACAGAGCACAAAGTAAAACATGGTTTCAAGAAAAAAAAAAAAAAAGGAGGCAAAGTGCTAATGCTAATGAGAATACCAGCTGACCGCTACTGCACGTGTGTTTTAAGTGTACAGTGTAAGCTTTTGAATGCTCAGAACTAACTCATTGGCCAGCAACACTTATGCATGATGTCAAAGACATCATCTTAATAGTGATGATAAGCTACTAAAGGGTTAATCTAAGGAGCAGAACAACTTTGACTTAAATTGCTTAAAAGTCCGGACATGGTATCTAGTTGGGAATTATCCCCCCCCCCCCCACTATAAGGTAACTCCACTTAAACTCTTCTTTACATGAGAATATGTATATATTTTAGGAAGCTCCTATACTTGTAGGTTTCTATATGGGACTTTTACTGTTCGTTATCCCTCCCAATGATACCCATATGACCTCACAGTGACTGTGAGAGCGTGCACTAGCCAGACAGAATTTGGGCCTGGAAGAAGTGGCCGTGAAGATCCGTCCCAAGCTGCTTATGGGGAAGTCAGTTTTGTTTAATGATGTGACCCTGCTATACTGACCACACTGCAGGACAGGTCCCACATCCAGGAGTAGTTGGCCAACACAAACTGCACTTGATGGGTGGAGAACACAAAGTTGCATGGATAGGGAGGTGGGAAGAGGTCTGAGAGGGGTTGGGAAGGGCATGAATGTTATCAAAGTACATTCTACCAAATTATCAGAGAATTAATACAAACATTATCAAACGGAAGAGAGGATTCTATTTAGAATAAAGACCAGAAATCCAAGGAGACTCAGAGCAACTCTAACAAGGGCTGTGAGGAGACAGATGCAGCAATGCAGGGTAACATTGGTGATGGTAGCTCAGGTGAGAGAGGGCTTGAGAAATGAGGCAGACAAATCAGGCAAAACATAAAGACTTGCTGATGAAATGTGGGAAGGTGTCTTGGTTCGAGACCTAGGTGATGAAGTCTGGGGCCAGGACTGAATGGATGCACAATGAACCACATTCCTTGGGTGCTGTGGCAGTGTGAATGAGGAAGTCCACTGGCTCACACGTTTGGACATTTGGTCCCCAGGTGGTGGAGCTGTTTGGCTGGGTTTAGGAAATGCGGCCTTGAGGAGGAAGTATGTCACCAAGGGCAAGCTTTGAGGTCTCGGAGCCAAGCACCGTTTGTAGTTTGCTCTGTCAGCTTCTTGCTTATACTTCAGACTGTTCCAGCCACTGTGCCGGCTGCCTCTGCTCTGCCATCATAGAACTGAAACTTCTGGAACCCTGAGCCCAAATAAAGTCTTCTCTCTGGAAGGTGCCTTTTACCCATGGGGTTTCATCACAGTAATAGAAAAGTAACTAATACAGGGGTAGATGTGAGAAGAATTTGGTAAAGGAGTGGGGAGTGAATATGATTAAAATCCATTGTATGCATGCATGAAATTCTCAAAGAGTAAATATTTTATATTAAAAAAGAAATAAATGCCTTGATCAGACTAAGTTAATAGAGTACTGTTAGACAAAGTATAACTTTCACGCTAACAATACTATTCTCCCATAACCAATATCAAATGGTGGTATTTCAATAAATATAAAATACAACAAAATGTTATTGACATGTTAAATTAAAAAGCAAAACATATGTGCACACACAGAGAGACACAGATAGTGAGGTACTGGCAAAAGACACAAAATCAAATATGAATAAAACAAATAGGAAGCCCAGAAATAAGCCTATGAATTTATAACCAACTTTGGTCAAAATACCAAGAATACAATGGAAAAAAATAGCCACTTTAATAAATTATGCTGGGAAAATTGATGTAGAAGAATGAAATCAGACTATCATCTTATACTAGATTCAAACATCAACTCAAAGTAAATAAAATACTTAAAGAAAAAATCAAAAGCTATAAAAGTGCTAGGGGAAAAGAAAAAAAAAAACAGAGAAAGCTCTATGACATTAGTCCACCAAAAACAGAGAAAAGTTTAAAAAATAGAATCCCTGAGCTGGAGTGGGGGGTAGATTGGCACACACCTTTGATCCCAGCACTCAGGGGGCAGAGGCGGACAGGAAAGTTTGAGGCCAGCCTGGTCTACAGCTCAAGTTCCAGGACAGTCAGGGCTACACAGAGAAACTGTGTGTAATAGAGAAAACCCAGTAAGACAGTGAGTGATTCATCCCTTTACCCCTTCGTGGCAAAGTCTGCATGTGAAAGACTGTGTAAAATAAAAATACATAATGGCTTGCTTTAAATCAAAACCACAGGATTAATTGTGCTTTAGTCAACTTGTTCTGAGCATCACAGTTTGCTTTGCTTTCACATCTCCAGCAGCTCAGCCCACCAACGCGTCACCGTCTTCAGTGGAAACAACACGAAACATTTGGAGACTTTCTTGAATCTTAAACGACTACGAAAACAGTACCCTTTTATGAAAAAAATAAAATCAGACAAAGCATTTGGAATGCTCATAACATTATCACCTCTGTTGTTTATATGATTTCTTGGGAAGGCCAAGTACATTTCAATTTAAAGAAATAAGGAAAACATTCAGTGTCTAGTAACATCAAATGATATAACATTATACCATAGAAAAGTTTTATATTTATATAGAATAGGTCAATCCTGAGAAACAGTGTCAGCTCAGAAGTTCATGTCCCATCCATCTCTTGTATGAGCTGCTTGTACAGAATACATACCTAGACACCAAAGGATAGCAGGCTCTACATTCCAAAGCTCTAAGCAGACCTTTGTTTGTACTCTAAGGCTACATACAGGTTATAGTAACAGAGCTTAACATGATGGTGTAAATACGCTGAGGTAAGATAGCGACAATTTAATTTGTTCTTGGCTGTATGTTGGCTCCCAAACAGTGCCTGTATTTTTAAATGATGCCAACTGAAAAGGATGATATGGAGAAGGGAGAAGGTAAATACTGTTCACAATAAAATTTAAATCAGTCCAACACACAGAATAATAAAGTATGTAGTTTCTGTCAAGTTCTCAGGTACAGGGATGGCTGTAAGTTGTGCCAACAACAAAGCACCTTTAAGTGTTACAGCAAGGACCGGGCTTCCCAAGTACCTTTAAGAAAGAACAGTCCAGCTGTCCCGTGGCTTATCTTAGATATATTTATACTTAGGAATGTGAGGTTTAAAATAAATACCACTTTAATTCTAACTTTAATTCTATCAGAAATATATTGTCTTCAAAAGCCTGCTTCTTAAAATACTCATGTACTTTTATTTCATAATGCATAATTAAGATTCTCTCATGTTGTTTTCGACCTTAACCCTTAGAAAATAGAATTCAAAATTTACCAATGACTCCTATAGAAGATTGTGTGTGTGTATGTGTGTGCACACATGTAAACACACATAGACACACATCACAGAAATATAATCAAAACTAGCTTTATATTTTCATATGAGCAAACACATGTGTAATATGATGCTACAGGAATGGTATGAAATTGTTTTATGTGTATGAAAAACAAATTCTGTGAAAACATTCTCCTTTAAAGAGGAAAGATAAAGAAATATTAAAATAGTATTAATTAAAAGTTTTATAATTACAAATACTGCCAAATGTAGCAAGATAAATTGTTTTTTTTTTACTTCTAATGATAAACATTTAATGGAATGTACAAGTAATGCTTTTAAGTCATTTTCCCACATATACTCTAATAGTTGTGCTTTTTATTTTACATTTGTACCTTATTGAAACATTGCCCATCAGTTAAGGTGTCCTTCTTTTCACATTTTCAAGTTACTTTATAAGATCAGTAGGGTTAAGAGTTTTCAGTTTGTAAACTCAGTAATTATATAATTTATTAATCTGATTGGACTTTTTACAGCAATTAAATAATTATAGATTTAAGTACATAATTTTAATAACATTTAAAATGTAAGCCTTCCTTTACATTAGCCCTAAAATCATCTGCATCTGATTTATTTTTTTTTTTTTTTGCAAATAATAGTAAATTATTAACAAAGACAGAAATAAATCCAGCACTCTGCATGAGCACAACAGGTCTTCATTTTTCTTCTGTAAATGTTTATAATGAGACACTGAAATTAGGAACCGACAGCTTTTCACTGTTTGACAGTGTGTGCTTCCTCCACCCGACCGGACCTGACCGGACCAGCTGACCGTACCGCTCGCGCGCAATGTTTTCTAAACCGGGTTTGGAATAGTCATCGCTTCACCACACTCCGTTTCGCTTTATTTTCATGGAAAAGAAAATCGCCCACTAACTGGTTACAGCCATGTTTTAAACACCACCTTCCTCCTCCAGAGCTGCAGTCCGAGTTCTTGCGGCCACTCCAGCTACTCAAGGGCCATCCTCTTCATTTGATGGAGAAGAGCATCTCTGGCAGAGTGCGCCTCCGCGAGAGCCATTTTAGCTTGAGCCAGCTCCCGCTTAAGAGATTCGTTTTCCTCCATGAGCTGAAACGACACATTTGGAAAACAAAAGGCTGTAAACACTTCCAGAAATGTAACTATTTCCTGTGTGTCACCTGGGATAGTGAACCACCCAGTCTGGAGAGGGTCCACGGGCACTGAAATTGCTTCCAGGCGCTATCTGAAAGCACCTACTATGCAATTAATTAAACGTGTTCCTAAATTTTGACCTAGTAATTCAAAATACTAATTAACTTCTCAATTCCAAACGTAACGGTGATACTGTCTGGCTGGAATACTGCGGCTCTGTCTTCAGCCACAGCTGACCTCTTTCCCCTTCACAAGCCTCTGTCCTCTGGCTATTATACCTGCCACCCGTTCCTCTTTTCATCTCGTTTAAGAACCCTGAGTCTCCACGGTCGCTTAGATTACAGTCGGCCACTTTCTCTTCTATAGAAGTCACTCTCTTAGATGGCCCCTTCCATCCATGTGGTTGGATTGGATCATACACAAGAGCTGGCCTGGTCCCGAGCAACTCTCTCCTCATCTCCAGACTCACATTCTCCGGATTCCAATAGGCACTTTCTTCCAGTGGACAAAACTTTCTAAGACTTATTCAAGATTTTGCCCTCCCAGAGCCACAACACATGAAGATAAATAAAAACTAAGGACTCTATGCACCGAGATCAATCACAGTGTCAGACGCCACAGTCACTTGTCACCCAGGGAACCCTTGAACAGGTCAATCAACTCCTACCATCCTGCATACAGTTAAAACTCTGTAGAACATTTTGTTTATTTATAATTGCAAACAATCAGAAGCAACTTGAATGTTAAGAAATATCAACAGAAGGTTCAGAAATGATACTACATCCATATCCAGACACTGAAACAGGCTTGAAGCAAATGTGGTAATAATATGAGAAACGTGTTATACGATGCTAAGTGAAATACAGTATTCACACTTGAAAACTAATTTTTTAAGAATGAGTAAGATTCTGAAAGGACAAAACTACTGACTGTACTTCAAGAAGACAGAGGGTTTGGGATGTTTCTTACCTTGCTCAACATCAATAACCTTAGCACCTTATGCTTATCAATATGCTTTTTTAAACCCTTCAAAGGTGTCTTACTGTTAGCATTGTAGTAATGTCCTATTACCTGTTCCCTTGTAAAGTCAAAGGAGTGTTCAGGACAGCTGACAGACTGAGAGGGCCAAGGGGCCTCTGGGCTCGTCTGAGTGGCCTGGGTGACACTGTGTTGCCTCCTCGAGTCACACTTCCCACTGGTCAGCATCACTGAATCACGGCTGGCATTGTCTTGCAAATCAGTTCCAGTGTTAAACATGTGAGAATCTGATCAGACAAACAAGCGCTCAGATAACAATTCCAAGTCATTAGACAAACCATTAAGTTCTACTATGAAAAACTATTTTTATAAACTGAGAGCATATCTGTTAGTATGAGGATAGTAATGTGTGACAGAAAAATAGGGAAAAGAAAAAACACAGCAAAATTAAAATCTCACTCTTTCAAAAGATCCCAAAATAATAACAACATGCCAAGAGACTAAAAAATAAGATCAAGATGCTTGTGAGAGAGAAATAAACAACCTGTACAAAATATTAGTAAAGTGACTACACCACATATGAAATATTTGTAGACCCTGGGCATGTAGTAAGGAATGCAAAATTGCCTTACTTTTTTTTTTTTTTTAAATTCAAGTAATTCTATACATGTACAGAGTAATAGACTTCAGAGTCTATAGAAAAGGCTCCTGAGGGCTGGCATGGTGGCACATGTCCTTAATCCTGCACTTCAGAGGCAGGAAGCAAGCAGATGTTTATAAAGTTTAGGGCAGCCTGCTCCAGATATGAGTTCAAGGACAACCAGGGTTATGTAGAAAAAAAAAACAAACAAACAAACAAAAAAGAAAAATGGTACTTAAGCTGGTGCACGCCTTCAATCTCAGCACTCTGGAGGCAGAGGCAGAGGCAGGTGGATCTCTGTGAGTTCAAGGCCAGCCTGGTTTACAGAGCTAGTTCAAGGACAGGCTCCAAAGCAATATAGAGAGAATCTGTCTTGAAAAACAAAAAGGAAAAGAAAAATGGTGCTAGGGTAGGTTTTTCCCTAGGGCCCATGCTATCTTGTCTTAGGGTTGGCCTCATTAACAGTATCAGTATCAGATCAGTATCAGTATCAGATCAGTATCAGTATCAGATCAGTATCAGATCAGTATCAGATCAGTATCAGTATCAGTATCAGTATCAGATCAGTATCAGTATCAGATCAGTATCAGATCAGTATCAGATCAGTATCAGTATCAGATCAGTATCAGATCAGTATCAGATCAGTATCAGATCAGTATCAGTATCAGTATCAGATCAGTATCAGTATCAGATCAGTATCAGATCAGTATCGGTATCAGTATCGGTATCAGTATCAGATCAGTATCAGTATCAGATCAGTATCAGTATCAGATCAGTATCAGATCAGTATCAGATCAGTATCAGTATCAGTATCAGTATCAGATCAGTATCAGATCAGATCAGTATCGGTATCGGTATCGGTATCGGTATCCTCATGTACCTGGCTTTAAATCAACGAAAAATTGATTGGTTACTGCCATAATATTCATGTTACCACTGCAACAATGGGCACATATCACAAGAAAGTCATTCTTGTAGCTCACAGGGTTTGGAGCTGGGTGGGATGGATGGCTACTTTCCTCCTCTGGTAGCGTGTCCAGCACTAGTAGGGGTGAAGCTTTCAGTTGAGAACCAGCTCTAATTCTCCATATTCTGTACTACCAAAATGCAGTGTCTTCAGCAACAGGGATCTATCCTTCATCGTGTGGAGAGTGACCAAGCTGGTTACACTATATTGGCAATATGCTATAATGTTGAGGTGGTTGTGGGACTCCACTGGCCAGAAACTCAAAACGTAACCCTTTCTGAGGATTTTTACCTGGTGACACATCATGTCTAGTTGGGGTATTGTCTTCCACATTATATGGTGACTATATTTAAATTCTTTTTATATATGTATATATTTCGGAAAGCTTCTACAGTAGGTCACATGGCTTTCAAAAGGCCTTGAGTCTCAGTTATCACCATCCCATACACCCTCCTCTATCTGCCTTCCCATTCCTACTAATCCCCAACACAGGCTTCCTTTTATCCCTTCATATCCTCAAAGAGCCCCTCCTTCCCCTGATCCCTGACTAGCAATGTAACCTCTGTGGGTATATTCTACATGGAACACAAAGCTAACATCCATATATAAAACAAAACATGCAATGCTTGTCTGTCTGGGTCCTGGTCACCTCGCACAGGATGTACGTTTCTAGCTCCATTTATTCATCTGCATGTTTCAGAATTTCATTTTTCTTAACAGCTGAATAACAGTATATAATCCAAGTGTTCCTATGGGGGAGTGGGAGGCAGAGAAGGGGGAGCTCGTAGCTTGCAGGCCAGCTAGGCTGCAGTAAAGAGTGCTAAGAGACCAAGAAGCTGTCTCAAACAAGATGGAAGGTGAGGATGAACCAGTACACGAGGTTGTCCTCAGACTTTCACATGCTGACGGTGGGTAGCATGGATGTGCACACAGACACCACAGGTCACATAAAACCACAAAGCTTTTCTCATTTGCATTCAAGAGTCACCTGCAGAAAAGGCATCAAGCTAACTACTGATGAGTTATTTCCAGAGTTACACATAAATGTTGTAGACTAATGTGCCAAAAAGCATCCCTCAGTCACCACTACTGCCAATCGGTACAAAGTGAACAGCGGGTGACAGGAGCAATCAGCACGCACATGACCGAGTGTCAGCGCACCAGGTGCTCCTGATGTCACCCTCAGTGTACCTCGGATGTGGAAAGAGCCATCGTCGTTCCTCTCCACCACCAGATGATCAATATGCACACTCACAGGACTTGGCTGCAGGGACACTGTGCTGCTCCGGGGACTGTCATCCTGGAGGGAGGCGACGAAATACTGGCATGTTCTTATTAACGTATTAAAACAGTTGACACACACCTTTAATCCCAACACTCAGGAGGCAGAGGCAGGCAGATCTCTGTGAGTTCGAAGCCAGCCTGGTCTACAAAGAGAATTCCATGACAGTCAAGGCTACACAGTGAAACCCTGTCTCAAAGGAAAAAATAAAACAGCCATGGAATAAAGCATGACTTTAGTTAGTTCTACTTTTAGTGAATTAAAAATTTATCTCTGTTACTTTAGTTAGTATGTCATAAACATTGCCTGCACAATTTTCCCCTTTCTTAAAAAGGATCTCTAACATTCACTTTCATAAATTCTAGCAGAGAATTTAGAGAAGGTATGATTTTGGACATGAATCGAAGTCCAGAAAAGGTAATGCAAACATTTATGAAAATAAAAACTTAGCTCTTAACGTACTTTTAAATTTATCTTTGTATTGGAAACCTGTATCTTCATTGGCATTACAGTTGCAACAGTTTCATCTTCCAAAAAATGTTGAATATTCAAAAGAGAAGACGTTAGAAACTCAGTACTAAAGTTCTCTATGTGGCATTGGAGAAACCCATTTTTCTCTGCCAGCAAAGAGTGCATTACAGCACCGGGTCCACTTTCAAACCTCAGGGAGATCTCGGGAGAGGATTTGGGATGAATTACAGCTTTCTGGTCAGAACCTAAGAACAAACATAAAAACTGTAACTTTGTAACACTACTAAAAAGAACATTATACACCTTTCAGATGATAGTAAAAATAACAGACCTCATACTAAAGGAATACATGAAACAGCCTTAACACTGACTAGTTTAAAGGATTCTACAGTATAAATAAGATGTATCATAAGCACCATAATTTCACTTTTTCTGGGTCATTTTCAAATACAATACTGACAGCTTTTCTACATTTTCTACTTTTTAATAGTAGGAGAAACTTCATGATAAACTCTGAAAGGCTACACTCTCCAGTTTCAACACCAATGTGAGCATCCAGCTACGTCTTTGCACTGAGGCAGATGACTGTGGTGAAGCCACCACAGCACTTGACAATGACTCTTAGACTTTGCACCTTCCTCATTAAATTAGAGACTCAATGTAAAAGTATATAGGTAAGATGTTATTGAAACAACCCTGAAAACACTTAAAACTGAAATTATAGTAAAGAATACAAGTAATTCATGTATAACTACATGATGTTATTGATGGACTGACCTTGTTTCAAGAAGGAATTTGAGTTGGTTTCCCAAGATAAACACCAATGTTTAAAAACAAATTTTAAAACTTCAATAGAAGTTCTCTAGAATGTCCATCTGGTTTAAAAGGCTACTAGTAATTGAAAGACTGAGGTCAAGCAGATGTGAACAGAAATTAGTGGGAAATTTGTTTATTTTATGCCAACTAATGTCAGAATAAACAGATGCAACAAGCAATATCTACAGGGCACACAGGGACAGGGACAAGAAGAAGAGCAAAGCTGAGGACAAAGGCCACTGCTGTCACTCAAAAACTGAGACAGGCCAGGGGCCTTTTTTAGAAATGAAGGAGGGAGGGAGGGAGGGAGGGAGGGAGGGAGGGAGGGAGGGAGGGAGGGAGGGAGGGAAAAATAGTATGGGCAGCCATGCCGTAGTGGCACACGCCTTTAATCCCAGCACTTGGGAGGCAAAGACAGGCAGATCTCAAAAAACAAAACAAAAAAAAAAAAAAAAGAAGAAGAAGAAATGGTATGTTTACTTTCCAGGATAGGAAATGACAGCATACTTTCTGATACTACATAAGATTATATTTATTCCTATACACTATGTATTATATAGACTTCCATACACATAGCAAACAAACAAAAAAACAGAAAAACAAAACTCACTCTGGCATGGTATTGAATATAGTCCTCGAGCTGAGTTATTACTATAAAGCAAGACTGTCAGTGTGCCATGCATAAAACACCAGATAAGATGAAAATGTATTTAAGTATACTTTGTGTGAAAAGTGGTTTTTAAAATAACCCTTACCAAGTGGACGGTTTCCAAGGTAATTCCGCAGACTAATGTTGCCTAACTGACTTGGCGTCACCTGGTTCACTTGAAGGCAGATTTCTGTGTCTTCTCCCCGTATGTCAATTTCTCCATTAATGCCCGTGATTTTAAACACCACGACTGACATCTATCAATGATTGCATACATGTTGTTAGTACACCATGTAATTCCAAACAAAATTTAACAAATAAATAAACAAATGTTAAGCTCTACAAATACCATTCTGACTTATCAATCAAACTGCCCTTATGGCCCACACAGCCTAGCTATTGTATTTTATAGCTTAAGTGTCTCTAGTTCAGAATCAGAAATGAACTATTTTTCAAGTAACAATGCAATGCCATGTGTAAAAAATTCCATACCACTGGGCTGTCTCACAAGTCTACCAAAAAAACTGTACAAAATTATCTATAGGATATGTACATAAGGAATCTATGAAATATAACCAACTTTGGGTTTGGAATTGGGTTCCATACATAAGATATCTCATACTTTTATGTAAAGATTCCAAAATTCAATAATTTCTTGAGTACGTCTGTACTCAAGTACCTCTATGCCCAAAAATTTTGGACAAAGATATTCAATCTTTGTAGAAAAACTCTAGCTGCTTTTGTTTCCAAGCCATAAAGAGAAAGTATTTGGGTTACAAAGACTAATAATATGACATTTCCACATATTAATGGTTATTCACTAAAACCAGCGTAAGTCTAAATTCTCTCATAATATTTCACTGTGTCAGAAAGGTTTAAAAGAAACTAGCAACCTATTTCTTTTGTAGAAGGATCTTCATTGTAAGGACTGGCTTCCATCTACGTCATCAAACCCGTAAAAAGTCTACTCGAAGGGAAGTAAACTATCGATCAAAACATAAATGGGACAGAAGATGGAAAAAATGACGAACAGATCTACTCCCCTCCCTTCTTCAATACAAACAAACAAAGAAACACAAAATAGACAGTAAAGCACAGGAACAGCGGGTGATTAGCAAAAAGAATTTTCCAAGAGCAGAAGCAGCCAAGTAAATTATCAGTGTTTCAGCTGTCATCTTATAAATGAAGGTCCCAAGATGTGCACGTATCAAGCACGAAGCACAGTTGGTATTTCTTCCCATAGAACTCGGAGATGATTACCAGGTCATCGCGGCTCTCTGGTGCACCCTCTGAGTTCGTACTGACAGCATCGGGAGAGGCTTCCCCACAATTCTGCGCATCTGCACTGGGGGTCACACTCTCTGTTGGGCTCTGGCAGTTTGCATTTGAGTTCCTTTTAATCGCTGAAATAATATCAAAGTAAGTTAATAAATTCAAGTCTGTTCATAGATGTTCTGGCAACATTTATATTTGTCAAAAATGGACTATCCCCCTTTAACTCTTTCAAGCAAAGCCTTGTTTACATAGTACTAAAGCAAATAGAGACAAATTATGGTCCCTTGGCACAACAATAAAATGTCAGAGATATTGTGCTGGATAGATTTATGTCAGCTTGATACAACTATAGCCATCTGAGAGAAAGAAACCTCTATTGAGAAAATGCCTCCATAAGATTAGGCTATGGACCAGGCTGTAGAGCATTTTCTTAATTAGTGATTGCTGGGGCGAGCCCATCCCATTGTGAATGGTGCCAGCCCAGCGCTCATGGTCCTGGTTTTGATAAGAAAGCACGCTGACCAAGTCAAAAGGAGCAGACCAGTAAGCAGCACCCTCTACAGCCTCTGCATCCGCTCCCGCCTCCAGGTTCCTGCCCTGTTTGAGTCCTGTGCAGACTATAATGTGGAAGTAAAAGCTAAATAAACCCTTTCCTCCCCCCAGCCAGCTTTGTGGCCACGGTGTTTCATTGCAGCAACAGAGACCCTAAGACAAGATGCCCAAGCCCTAACTCTGGTAAAATGACAATGACAGTAAGCACTGAAAGCAAACAGCCCTCCTATCGTTGCAGGAGCACTGTGGTAGCCGGAAAGTCGGGAAGTCCTGTGGGCTTCTGTCTCCCTCTACCCACACTGCGTCACTCCAGTCTGAGAACCCCAGTCTCTCCTCTCCATCAGACAGTGCCTCCCAATCACCTCTCACAGGGCTGGGTACCACATGACTGTTCTCCATCACTTTCTAGCTGTCTAAACGTTTCAGTGCGTTACGATTCAATACACCTCAAGCTACCTACAGTGAAAGAAGGCAATTTCTGTGCCTATCACGGATTAATACTTTAAAATACCATAAAAGAACTATTACAAACCAGGTGGTGGTGGCGCACACCTTTAGTCCCAGCACTTGGGAGGCAGAGACAGGCAGATCTCTGTGAGTTTGAGGCCAGCCTGGCCTACAGAGCTAGTTCCAGGACAGCCAAGGTTGTTACACAGAGAAACCCTGTCTTGAAAAACAAAACAACAACAAAAAACGAAGCAAAACAAAAGAAGGACTATTATAAAAATGTGATGACAGAAATCAAAGACACAAAAACAATCTGCCCCAACTCAGCACTGTCATTAACTCCTACGTAACTATCTGGTTTCCTCCCGGTTGCTGGTCAGTGTGGAATGCTCAGCTCCATATGAGCACCAGAGAAGGTGTTTGTGATGGTAACTGTGGTATATGAAGGTGCCAGAGCATTTCAGAGTCTTTCTCACAGTTCAGCGAGTAAGATTCTTTGATGGAAAATTGTGCTAAACTGTACAAAAAGTAAAACAGCTTTCCAGGCACAGCTATAAAACTCTGAGAAGGAAAAAGATTTGTCACAGTAAAGAAAATAAGACATGGGGCCAGCAAGGTGGCTCAGTGAGTAAAGACGCTTGCAGCCAAGCCTAAAAACTTGCGTTTGACCCCTGGAATCCACACGGTGGAAGAAGGAACAATTCCTGTAAGCTGTCCTCTGACCTCTACACTCATGTCATGGAACATGCGTGCTAACCTGTCACCCACACTCCAACAGAAAAAGGAAACAGACCTGTAGAAAAATAAACTGAGGTCAAGTCATAAAGGACAATTTCAAAAAGAATTAAGGATTCTAAATTTCACAGTCTTAAAGCACGAGAAGTTCCTGAGATCAAACTGGAAAATAAGGGGACCAGATTTATATTTGGAAGTAATAATCTCTTTATAGAGTGCAAAACAAAAACACCAACCAACCTGCAAATGAACAAAGGTAGAAGTGAGGAGACTCATCAGGACAGCCACTAGGAAGTTCTCCTCTAGGGATGCAGGGCTGGATACAGAAAGGAAGCCGCCCGCCCGGTACAATGAACAAGCACTGGGTAGACGCCCGCCCGGTACAATGAACAAGCACTGGGTAGAGGGGCTGTGGGCGCTCAGGCAGCTCTTGTATGAGTGTTCATCTCTAGCGAGGACTCTCGCGCTGTACCCACACTGCTTTACCTTTTCCCAACAGCGCGTGACTATCACTTCCATCACTCTCCAGGGGCTCTTCCAGCACCATGCTGTCCAGTGAAAGGGCGTCCAGGGAGACCTGGGAGGCACTCCTTTTCATGTTCTTGTAAGAAACACAGAGTGGAGCTGGGGTGGGTGGGCAGCGTTCCTTAGGTTTTACACTGTCGGCAAACCAAATTAATAGAAAATTACTGCAGGTTTACTCTCAACAGGTGTGGGGAGAGCGAGTGCACCCTGTAATCCCAGCACGGGGGAGGCAAAGTCTGCAGGAGCACTCAACTCCTAGCCTGCCAGGCCACGGAGATGCTGGCCATCAAGGAAGACAACTATAGGAAAGCTAGCACATCACACGGCATCCAGAAGTGTACCAACAGGTAGAAGCTAAAAGGCCTCCTGAGATTCCGAAAATAGTCCTAAGAAAGCCACATCTTGTCATGAGGTTTTCTGCTCCCAAACAAAAGAAACAAAGAAGCCAAAGACATAGCAAAACCACTTATATTCCCAACAGTGCCATTACCTGGAGGACGGCTGGGGTTTAAGTGATCTGGCTGTGGGCATCTCTTCTTTACTGTCCTCCAGGTTCTCCGGGACTAACGGGACTTCAGGAAGGAAATCTTCAGCTCTGAAGATTGACTCTATAGTTCCACTTCCTTTACCAGCTAAAGCATTTGAAGGTGCTATTTGATTTCCGCTGTTATTCAGGGAAAGCCTATTTGAGTCCTCTCTGCAGTTCAGGACACTATTGGAGTCTGTGCAAGACACATCCTTTCTGTGACTTACTTCTGCCATCATTTCTCCTGAGCCACTCTTGTAAACAAGGCCACTACTTTCATCTTCGCTTATTTTCCCTAAATGTTTGTCTGATAAATAGTCCAGGAAGGAAGTGCCTTTCTGCAGATTTGTGTCACTGGCTGACTTGAAAAGCAAAGGATCCTTTAAAGGGACATGGCTAAGGTCAACACTCATCGATCTGTTGTCTGACATGTGATTAAGAGTAGCGTTTCTAATTCGATGTATACCACTACCACCTTGTTTTCTCTTTGAAGACAAAAAGGCCCCATTTTCTGAGGGTAGGTAGTCGGGAAGCAGCGCACTCACACTCTCAGAGGCAGGAGAGCGCAGCGTGCTCGCGTGGTCCACGGGATGCAGCAGCAGGGCGAGCTCCGCACTCCTAAGTAAAACGCCAATGCAAACAGAGGTCTGAGAAGCAGGGCTGCCGGTCACAGCCTCCACGTCCTTCCGTAGGGCATCCGAAAGCAGAATGAGCGACTCGTGTATGAAAAGCAGCAGCAGATACTGGTAGTGATTGATCTGCATGCTGACATGTTTGTGAACACGAACCAGGACGTGAACATCCGCATCTGAAGACGAAGAGGAAAACCGTAGAAACGTTTCTGATGCAGGTCTCTGACCGCCATTTGTCAACGGCTCAGACTCTGTACTATAATACTCCTTCAAGAGTCTCTTCCGCTTCATTCGGCCAGCCAGATCGCTGGACTCGCTCTGTGAGGTATTGAGAGACACTTGATCACAAGTCTGAAGCTCTTTCTGTAACTCTGCATATCTCGTGGGTTGGCAAATCCAGATGGACAGAGGGAAGGAGTCTACAAAGCTTATTGGCCGTCCCTTTCCACTTTTCATCCCTTCATAGTCTATCCAAAACTGGGAGAAGTACACTGCCCACACATCGGTGGCAGCAGACGTCTTAAGAGTGTTTTTATTCAACTTGGGAAGAATATTCCCTTTATAAACTTCATGCATTTTGGTATCTTGTTCATGAGCGTGTCTCTGGAAGATTGGATGGAGGAGATTGAAACTGTCACAGGATTTGGGGAATCTAGTATAAGCTTTGCTAAAAAAGTCACAGTCTTTGAAGTCTTGGAACAAAGCCTCTAGGTCCGAGTGCCGGCAGTTTGGGCAGTGCCTTGTGTTGGTGGCGGTCACTTCTGAACTCTGTATAGACACTGTGTGGGGCTGATCTTGATGGCAGCCTGCTTTCATCTCAGAAGGGATGACAAACTACAAGGAAAAACAACTGACACAGCTCAATTACAAATCCCTACACCTGGGTAAAATATGAAAAAGGCTTGTAATTATTTTCAGATATTTTCCCTCGAAACAATTACAAGCCTTCTAGTCTTTCTTCTCCTGATATAAATCACCTCTTCTCCCTCTGCTGAGTCCTCCTAATAAATTCGGTTAACAAATTAAGCACTGAGGACACACGGCTTATGAGACATCATGTGTATTAACAATGTTCACGATTATGTATTTTTAATCACACCATAACCAGAAAAAAATGCAGGTGTGTTGGATGTAGCTCACTGACAAAAACGCATGCCATTATATACAAGGCCTTAGATTTGATGTCCAGCACCACAGTGCATAAATGAATAAACAGATAAGGAAATAGACGCATTCTTCAAAACTTGAAGTGTTTGAGGTCAGAGAGGAAAATCTAAGTCTAAAAAGCAATACTGATATTTTGTTAAGATTTTTAAATCCAAGTGTTTTAGGGGACAAATCACTAGACAAACGGATGTCACCATAACCAATTGTCTGGGCTGGGTCCAACAGCACACACCTGTCATCCCAGCCCTCCAGAGAAAACAGGCAGGACATTAGTTAAGAGAACACGACTAAGCTGATGCGTCAAACTTCAGTGGAATAACTCCTAAGGGTGAATTGAATCTAGTCTTCGAGTGTCCATATCAAAGAGTTCAGAGTGGTTTCTAGGTACTGTTCATACTCAGAAAATATAGTGATCATTATTTAGATCTGTCTCAAACAGCCATAGAACATGTCCCTTTATGACAAATTGAGAAGATTTTATTTATGCCAGGATATGTGGAGTATTATTTTGTATAATTTTTTGTTTTTTGTTTGTTTTTGAGATAGAATTTCCCTGTGTAATAGCTCTAGATGTCCTGGAAGTTGCTTCACAGACCAGGCTAGTCTTGACCTCACAGAAATCCACCTGCCTCTGCCTCCTGAGTGTTGGAATTAAAGACATGCACCACCAGAACCTGGCTTTGTATAATTTCTTAAAAGAGATTACTGTACATAACCTATCAACAACAGACCATGCAATAAGATTTCAGTTATGTGCAGAGCTTACTCTATTTACTAAGCTATTTTGTCTTTTAATCTTTTCCCTTTAAAAACTAAAGAATGTACACAGCCCAGATTAGCTGAGGAGAAAAACTGTTTAAACCCTGTAGTCAAGGGCGGGGGTGGGGTGGGGGGGTGGGGGGGTGGGGGGGGACACTAAAGATTTTTAAAGACTTTTTTTTGTAATATTTATTCGTTTATTTATTTATTTGTTTGATTTAGTGTCATGGGGAGAGTGTAGAAATCAGAGGACAACTAGCAGGAGTCAATTTTTCACTCATAATGTGAGACCCAGAGATTGAATTCAGGTAATAAGTCTTGGCTACAAGCACCTTTAACTGCTGAGCCGTCCAACTATATATTTACATTTTATTGCTATATCTTACTTCCAAATGAATAGAAAGAAAATTAAAATCATAAATATACAAATGGAGGGAAGCAGTCTCCTATATTTTCTATAACTGCAAATCAAAATTCAATCTTAAATTTCAACATAAAAATTAAGATAATTAAATTTATTCACATTTAAACGCAGTGTTATATCCTGGAATACACTACCTGGGTGCATTGGCACACGCCTTTAATCCCAGCACTTGGGAGGCAAAGGCAGGTGGACAGATCTAGGTGAGTTCCAGGACAGCCAGAGCTTCACAGTGAGATCCCTTCTATCTGTCTCTCTATCTCTGTCTCTCTTTCACACAAAGAATAAAATAGCTGTATTCTAGCAGCCACTTGTTTATACAATACCTTTAGCATTAAGCCATCAACTCGAATATCAACATGCTCATCAGATTTTGAATTGTCATTCAACTTGTACACAGCCATGAACTGATTAAGACTCTGTTTTAAATCTAGTAGGAATTGGTTTAACCACAGAATACTTCTTTCATCTACAGTAAACTGTAGAGCATTCAGCTGGCTATACAGGTTAGGAGATGGAACTGTGGAGAAAAAAAACAAAAAACAAAAAACGTTAAGCACCATTAATAGACAGTTATGTTTCCCGAGAAAAGATATTCTTAACAAGCAGCATTCTTTCTTAAATATCACATATGAAGTTAGATATGTAACTAACAGCAAATACAAACACAAGACATTTTCCACTGCTTCATTAACTGCAAGATATAGTTTAATGTAGAATTAAATGTATAGACAGAAAGTGCTATTCGATTTACACAGAAGCAAGCTTCTAAGACCTTTGAAAAACGCTGTGTCAACATCGGGACCTGTGACCTGTCTGTAAAGCCTTTCCTATCCGCATCACACTCTGCGTCCTCTAATAGCCAGTTTCCTAGGAAAGCGATGAGCAGGGCAGAAAGCCCAAGAGGAAGAAGTACACTCACTTCCTCTTTAGTAAAGGCCCAGAACAGGGTTTGGGTCAAAGCAGTAACTTTAGTGTCTCAAATAATCTGTTAACACCCACTCAAGTTTCCTCCCACTAAGCTACTGCTGACAATTAGAGGGTATATCCATCACAAAAGCTACACATTTCAGAACAGCTTGCTAAGGTCTTTATAAAACTAAGAATCCTGAGACAGGACTCCAATTTTCCCAGTAACACGTGACACACCAGGTGAGGCTCCCCAGTTTCTGATAAGTATGATTCATAGTTATCATAGCATAACTAATAGTTCAACAGCAGGTTGAACTCTTCTTCCCATGTATTGATACTACCTCCAACAGAGCCAACTCGTGCTCTTAAGAGTTGAATACATACAGATTTTTGTTGTTCCAAAGAAAAAGACCCTTTAGAGATAAAATGAATGTCTTTCCACAGTGATGCATCTTACTCTCACAGACCTAAAACCAATAGCGTGGGCTGAGGATGGACTGAAACCTCTGATACTGCCCTCAACCCATACATGTCAGGAGCTAAAATCCCTGTAATTGGAAGAATTTGAGAGAGAGACAGAATAGAGACTGAGATGGTTCACCAGGGCCTTGAAGATGATGAAGATGATGAAGACATGACATTGATTATTGGTCCAAGGATAAACAGTAAGAACAGACTATATAGCCTGAAAGTAAAATGAGGAACTAGATATCCAGACACTCCTTCATCAGTTCAATCTGTAACAAAATTTAGCATGAATGGAAGAAGCAAATCTTCCAGGACACTGGATGCCCAGAGCACATCACTGTCAGCAAAATGGCAAAATTTGTATAGCATTAAAGTTATATTCTGGGGGACTGGGGAGATGGCTCAGAGGTGAAGAGCACTGGCTTCTCTTCCAGAGGTCCTGAGTTCAATTCCCAGCAACCACATGGTGGCTCACAGCCATCTGTAATGAGATCTAGTGTCCTCTTCTGGCCTTCAGGGATACATGCCAGCAAAACATATGAATAATAAATTAAAAAAAAAAACATTAAAAAGAGTTATATGCTGGGCTAAGACATCTTAATGATGTCCAAAGAAAATACAAAACTCCCACAGGCACACAATTCATTTTAATAATCTAAACTTGTCTAAAATCAACAACCTCCTATGTATATAAATGTCTTGATTACATAAAGGAATCCTAGCAAGTAAAACTGACCTGGACTTTTGCAAGGATATAATAACTATGCATACACCCATTATGTTTTTAGGTGGTAGGAAGGAAAACACATTATAATGCTTCCTCCTGTTAAGGGGTTGTGACTTAAACACTAACCTGCAGTGCATGAAACTGAATTCAGGTCCACAAAGTGAAAACATGGCAAAGAACATTAGGTGGCTAGAAACTATGCTTCTGAAAAGTAAAATCTTAACGAGAAGAGGCAAGAATGGTGGGTCCTCTCCATCCTGGAAAGCTACCATGAACTGTCCAATTGCAGCAGGTACAAGTGTTGTGGATGCTGATAACTAGAAGCATTAAAAATGGGTTGGACTGTTTTTCTGTCTGTATTAACAGAGATATTGAGAGATCAATACATTTTTGTTAAAAGTATTCATGATTGTTGTACATAATAGACACGATAAATACTTTGTTTAGAGTCTTTGTTTAATAAAACATGAATTTAAGTAAAGTGACCAGTGCAATAGCACACACCTTTATTCCTAACACTAGAGGCAGAGGCAGGAGTTCAAGGCCAGCTTGGCCTATATAGCAGGCTCCAGGACAGCCAGGAATACATAGAGAGAGAATACATAGAGAAACCCTACCTTTTAAAAAATAATAAGTAAATGAAGCAGACAAATAGGTACATGGGGTATGTGACTTTAGGATTAAAATGAGTCTTAAAAATGTTTTATAGGAGTTCAGATCAAATTAAGAAAAAGAAATCCCAAATGTAGAAAGCCAGAAGAATGAATATTCTACCATAATCTCCATTTGATTTGGGGGCTTGCATTTATCTCTTTACTCAATTCACAAAAGCAATGATTCACTGAAGGTCTATATTTCTGCATTATGCTAAGGACACAGAACATAAAAGAAATAAAGCATGGTCCAATTCCATTAAAATTTCTATACATGAGATAAATATTAAGTGAAAAATGTTGTGATTCAAGCCTCTCCGAGACCAGCTGTGACGCCAAGGTGTTTGTCTTTAGTAATAAAAGAATGTGGAGTGCAGAGAAGAATGCTTCACTCTGGAAGAAGGGAACTTCTAATTTAAGATGGTGATGGCAGCACCCAGAAGACTATAGAGCAAAGGTAATCCCCAAGCTGAGCACAGAGAGAAGGAACAACACCGAGCAGCAGAGGGCTCTGTGCCATTTCCAAGAGGGTCTCCAGGTGACCCTGTCTGGGGCTGGGGTGATGCTGAGGTCGGAAACCAGGTACCACAGACACAGCTGGGTGAGCCCTCTAATACTAAGTTACATCTCAGCACTAAAAACGTAAGCAAATTAGCTAGCAGAACCCTTAGGGCTCATAGTATTAAGTGAAGGAGGCAGTATACAAAGCAAACATGAAAAGCAGGCACAAGCGCTATGAACCAAACAGACGCTCTACCCCACGCCTCCCAAGTCCTCTCGTCACCAAACAGACGCTCTACCCCACGCCTCCCAAGTCCTCTCGTCACCAAACAGACGCTCTACCCCACGCCTCCCAAGTCCTCGCGTCTTCAGATTCGGCAGCTCAGTGACTATCTGGAGACGGAGCTTCTGAAGAGGAATTAAGGCAAAGTGAGTCATTTGAGCGGGCCCTTGTCCAGTGTGGCTGATGCACAGTGGTACACACCGTCAACCCCAGCCCGCCAGGAGGCAGAGACAGGAGGCAGCCGGGTCAACAGAGCAACTTCCAGGACAGCCAACCAAGGCTACACAGTGAGATACTGTCTCTCTTTTTTTTTTTTTTTTTTTTAATTTAAGAAATCATACAACCTGGAAACTAGTCTTAACTCAAAACAAACAAACAAACAAACAAAACGCCTCACTTGCAGAATGACGCGGTTTAGTTAAGTACAGCAACCACTGAGGACTGAGGGAGGGCTGCCGTGAACGCCCTGGGGACAGTGCACTACCGTGGGAAGCAGCAGCGGATGGACCATGCTTGGGTTTCAGCTGTGCCCTTTCATTACCTACAAGCCGCTGAGAAAATGCCTCAGCCCTATCCACAGTCAGAAGAAGAGTTGAGAGAAGAAACAAGTGATGAGCGCACATCCACAGGACAATGCTGGGAATGGAAACTAAGGATTAGATGCCATCCGTTTGGCCCAAAAGGGAAAGAACAGTAAAATACTTGGACATTTCTCTAAAGTGGTGTCTAGAATGCCTTATTTTATAATAAAACCAAAAGCCATTTCAGGAGCACCAATCCTTGAAAGTAAAAGCCTACATCCCAAAGTCAACACTGCTGGGGGTGGACAGCTCAGCTGCCCCTGCTCAGCTGCCCCTGCTCAGCTGCCCCTGCTCAGCTGCCCCTCCCCAGGGCCCAGGTCTGATTCCCAGCTCCCACGTGGCCACACACAACCGTCTGTATGTAACTCCAGTTCCTGGGGACCTGATACCCTCTTCTGTCTTCCTGGCACATTACACACACAGACACATATGCAGGCAAAACACTCACATACACAAAGTAATAATTTTTAAATAAGTCAGCATTAAAGAAACAGGCAGTTTTACAAGGACGAGGACTTGAGTAACAGGACCTGTGTAACAGAAGCCAGGTCTGTCCATCTGTGACCTGAGCACAGGGAGGTAAAGACTAGACAGGAGTCCCTGCGGCTGCTCAGCCAGCTGCCTAATATACTTGGTGAGCACCAGGCCAGTGAGGCATCCTGCCTCAAAAAACCAAGTGGATCAAGCATGGCGGCACATGGCTTTAGTCCCAGCCCTCAGAAGGGAAAGGCATGCAGAACTTTGAGGTCAAGGCAAGCCTGATCTACACAGTGAGAGTACCAGCCCAGCTAAGACTACATAGTGAGACCCTGTCTAAAACAGCCAAAGCAAAAACAACCAAACAAAATAAACCAAAGTGGACAGAGCATAAAAAAATAACACCTGGCTGGGCAGTGGTGGCACACACCTTTAGTCCCAGCACCCAGGAGGCAGACACAGGTGGATCTCTTGAGAGTTCGAGGCCAGCCTGGTCTACAAAGTGAGTTCCAGGACAGCCAGGGTTACACAGAGAAACCCTGTTTTGAAAAACAGAAAAAATTTGACACCTGAAGTTGGTCTCTGACTTCCACACACGTACATATGTATTATACCTGACCACACACATACCACACACACTCAAAGACCACAATACATGAAAGACTTTAATTTGAAGAATTAGAGTGAAATGACACAAAACACATAATTTTAATATTCAAATAAACAAATGCATAATAATTTTAATTTTAGGAAGCCAAAAGAGCTTACAAAGCTATTTATCTTTAGGAAGCTAAAAGAAACTTAAATTTTTCATTTTTAATAGAACAGTTTCATAATTCTGACTTGCCAATAGAATTTTACAAAAGAAAAAAAGTGACAATTTTCTCCAATAACATTCATTCATACTTCCTTAAACAAATTACTAATAAGCACAAAAAAGCAGGATAAAAGCACATAAAATCAGTGACAACTGCCACAAGATTCATGCCATCAAAAAGGCCACAATAGGGAGGAAAAGAACCCACGAACAACTATTAGCAATGTGTATAAATTTAGTATAAAAGGTATGTCCTAAGCACCGTGATAAGAGTAAATTTTCCTGTATGAATTTATAAAACCCAAACTTGTCATCCAAAAGTTCAGTAATGAACAAACAATAACAAAATAAACTCTCTTACTTGGAAAATCTTTGCCATCTGGATAGTAATATTCCGTGAACTCTATGTAGATAGCTGACATTTCTTGTGGAAGATACAGGGATTTTTTGTTGCAGGAAATCATACTTTTGGGGGAAGAGCGACATTGTTCCGCTGTAGAGACCTGGGAAAACAAGTTTGCTTAGATTCTAGAGAATAAAGCTCCTTCTAAAGAATTTTTACAACGTACGCACACACGACTTCCAATCTTAAGATCACTTCCAGGCTCTATGGGTGAAGGCATTTGCTGCCATGCCTGATGGCTTGAGCTCGATCCCTGGAAGCCGCATGGGGAAGAGAACAGAGCCCTGCAAGTTGCCTTCTCACCCCTGCGTATGTACGCTGCTGTGTGCAGCATTAAGGGTGTGGGTGGCATGCAAACATGTAAATACATGTACAAGAATGACATCCAAGATGAAATACCCACCAATCACTCAGAAAACTCCTATCAATTCAGATCTTCGCAAATAAAACATTAACTTTACCACACAGAGAAACCCTGTTCTGACAAAAACAAAACAAAAAGAAAAAAACTTCACTTTGTATATTACCTTTGGTAAACTTACTATTTTGAGCCTTAAAAATGACAGGAAAATAGCAAAAATTGTATATCATCAGTTAATATAGATAAATAAGTGGCAGATTCAAGACACAGAGTAGAATCTAGGCCAGAACAGTTCCCCAATCTGTTCTTTATAAATCATCATAGTCTCTATTATTATGAAAGCACTTTATAGTTTGCAATACAGAAAAGGGAAAAAAAATGTGAATGTATTTAATATCAGTGAATTGTAATTTGAAAATAAGTATAATGAGAGCTGGAGAAATAGCTCAGAGGTTAGGAGCACTGGCTGCTCTTCCAGAGGTCCTGAGTTCAATTCCCAGCAACCACATGGTGGCTCACAAGCAACTATAATGGGGTCTGGTGCGCTCTTCCGATGTGCAGATACACTGCAGACAGAACACTGGGTACATAACAAATAAATAAGTCTTTTAAAAAATAATCATTATTATAATGAACTGGATGGTAGTGGGACATGCCTTTAATCCCAGTACTTGAGAGGCAGAGGCAGGTGGACCTCTGAGTTCGAGACCAGCCTGTTTACAGTTAGTTGCAAGATAGCCAGGGCTGTTTCACAGAGAAACCCTGTCTGAACAAACAAAATAATAACAATAATAAAAGTGTGTCAATTTTACAGAAATAATTGATGTAAAACACAATATAAGTATACATAGTTCAAATAATTTGATTTCTTAATTATTTCCAAGAGAACTATTATTTCTAAGGCCCCAAATATACTGTTGTCACTCTTTCTGCTTATGGTTCACTTGTAATTACATCAGGGAAATGTACACACTGGGCTAGGGGTGTGTACAAATTCCCAAGTTCAATCTCCAGCACTGTACAATCCGGGCACGGTGGCACAGGCCTGCAATCCCAGGGTCCGAGAGTGGAACCGTGAAAAACAGAAGTCCATGCCAACCTTAGTTACAGGACTGGGGCACAGGACAGCCACTAACATAAAGACTGCACTAATTCGCAACCGATGACGTTTTATTGAGGCTAAGTAAGTAGGCTTGGAAACTGTTCTGTTTCATTTGCTCAACTAAAGTGCATATTTCTTTTTCATGTATTACTATTATTGTTGTTACTACTACTGTTGTGTGTGTGTACATGTGTGTGCGTGTGCGTGTGTGTGTATGTGCGTGTGCGTGTGTGTGCGTGTGTGTGTGCATGTGTATGTGCGTGTGTGTGCTCATGTGTGTGTGTGCATGTGCGCACGCACACGTGCCATGGTACACATGTAGCAGTGAGAGAACAACTTTAGGGAGTCAGTTCTCACATCCTATCACGTGAGTCCCAGGGATCAAACCCAGGTCATCAGGCTTGGAAGCAAACACCTTCCCGCTGAGCCATCCTCCCAGATCCACATGTATCTATATCTTATATGAAGCATTTAGAGAATGTATTTTCCTGATAGAATAAAACTTTCTCGTTCTTTGTAACATAGATTTGAGATAATTTACAATGTGAAATTTAAAAACTCTTCTGCACATACAGACACGAAACACTTCTTGATTATATCAACTTAAAAACAAAAGCATATTTTTAATTGTAAAAGTTGCTAACATTGAGATATTACTATTTTCTGTCACTTTTATGGTCTTATAATGTCTCTGGATATAGAGTATCCTCATTACATTAATTGTGAACAACTTAAGATGATGAGTAATTACTCTCCCTCATTCATCTATGCTTTCACTTAAAAGTTAAGATTTAAAGTTTACTTTAAAGCTTGGTGTGGTTGCCCATCCCTATAACCCCAGCATTCAGGAGGAAGAGTTAGGAATAAAAACAGCTCAAATCCAGCCTTAGCTACATAGGGAACTCAAGGCTAGCCTGTGCTACACGAGAGCCTGTTGCAAAGGAAAAGAAAAAAAATCAGTAAAAAGTAAATAAGCTACATTATAAATAGCTTGTAAAGAAAGCTATGAACAATGAGAAAATAATCAGGACTTTACGAATTCTTAAAAGAAAACTTTTCAGATAAAGCAATAGACTTAACCACAATAAATGAGAACAACTTATAAATAATTACATCAACCTAAATGTTTTTATTCTTCAAAAAAGGTCAAATATAATTTTGTTGTAGGCTATATGACTACAGTTTGAATAAAACAGTACATGTGGGACAGAGTTCTTCACATAAAAGTAAATTCACAAAAGAATAAAAATAAAAAATAAACTCATAGCACAGTTTATAAGAGCTGAGTACAGCAAAAAGGCATTTCAGGTTCTTCCACATAGACCACTGTGCTGTAAGAAATTAGGTCTCTATGAAGAGCTCTGGGCTTTGTTCATGCTCCCCAGAGATAATCACAAATTATAATTTCCTACTCATAATGTCAGCTGATGGAGGTATGCAAACCAGAAGACTATAGGTTGGGCTGGTCACACTCAATAGTCCTATTAATGGTTAGAGGTCAGGGAAGACATTGGGTCATCTGCCTTCAGTCTACTCCAAGATGAATCCAACCACAAAAGCAATACTTCATGTCTACAGTATATATTCACACCGAGGGGCTAGGGAGGGACCCAGGGCCCTATGAATGCTAAGGAAGCGGACTACCACTAAGCTACACCAACAGCCTGAAGTTGACATCCAAAAGCCTTCCAGACTGTGCTCTGTGTATTATTTCTATGGCAGGTTCTTCTTTGTATCTTTTTCCTTACAATCAAAGCGAATGTGACAAGATTCCAGTGAGTATTGTGAGTGCAGCTCTGAACCCGGGTGTAATTAGGAGCCCCAGGACTTGAAACAACCTGCCATATTTCTCCCTTGACTTCAGTTTGTCTGATTCAAGATAATTGCATAAATAAAAGTCAGTGAACTAATATTTTCTATCACATATAATTTGCATCTCATAAAATTAGTCTAGAGCTTTAAAGATAAATAGTAGGAATAATTACCTGGGTTGCTTGAGATGAGAAGACCTAATACATACCTGGTATATATTGAAATCTGCAAGTCTAACAACGACAGAGCTGGACATCAGCTTTGCTTTGGACTGCTGGGGTAACAATGAAGATGCTTTAGGGGTCCCTTTCTCTGTGAGACACAAAAACTCCTTTCAAATCACTATGAAATTATTTCATAGCACTCTTCTGAGGTAGAGAAATCTACTACAGATGAATGCTAAATTTCTCAAACAAGATAATACATATGGATACAACAAGTTTGCTTTTGTAATGATTAATCTTTAAAACAGGAATCATATTTTAAGTCACTCATGATGTTAAAAATGAAAAATTAATAAAGCACTTGAGAATCTAAATATTCTAAGTGGATTTTACTACTATTGGTTATACTAATCTGCAAAGTGTTGAGGTAGCAGTTAAGACTCAGCAGTTAAGAGCTCACGGTCTTGTGCAGAGGAATCAAGTTTGGTTCCCAAGACCCATGTTATGTAGCTCACAGCTGTAACTTCAATGCCAGGAGATCCTGTGCTCTCTTCTCACTCCACAGGCTTTACACACATGTGCATAAACCCAAACACAAACATATACACACTCACATTATTAAAAAAAATTAAAGTGTCAGTCTATACAACTGTTAGTCTACACCTTTTGAATTTCAAACAATACTTAGAAATGATATTCATAAAAATATATTCTCATGCTCCCTTCACCTCCTCACCCCATCAGAATATTAGGGGACCATCATTTGGTGACATACCTGTTTGTGTGTGCTGGGGAGAGACATGAGTTGGGGATTTGGGAGGTGAACCTGCATTACGATCCTTCATAGCCTGTTTAAGCATTTCAACGTTGCATTCAAATTCATGTAACAACTCATTAGCCCATCCATTCTTTGTTTTGGTTGCATCACTAAAATACATCCAATGATTACAACTATCTCCTGTAAAAATGAGTAAGAGAAACTTCATTGCATGCCTGATTTTAAACTTTTGGTTTGAGAGAGGGTCTTGATTTAGAGGAGGGCTTACTATACCAGGCTTAAGTCTTTAATATTAAAAATAATAATAATTTACTTCTCTAACAAAATCAGAGCAAGACAGAGGAAAAATTCTCAAAAGTAAATAACCTAGATGACTTTCTATCTAGAACCTATCCTTGGTGAAACAAAGCTCAATTCAAAGCTAAAGATTTGGGCAATTTTTAGTAGATGCTCAATTACCTGGCAAAACTATACAGAATCTCAGAAAAATTCCAAGGAAAAAACCTTTCATCAAGACTGCTATAAAAAGTGACTGACATAGCAAACATTTAGGGAAACAACAAAACTGCCCAACACAGGCTCCAATCATAAACAGATACACGTTTTGAGAGGACAAAACAAAATCTAGATCAGGTTTCTTTGTAATGATTTACAGAAGTTTCAGGTACACACAAAAGAAAATAAAACCTGCTCTATGACTGTCTTCCCTTCTGAAAGAAGAATACTCTCCACAGTTAGGAGGCTTTTCTCTTCCTTTGAGACTGAGGCTGCATCGCTGGGCATCCTCCTGCATCCCCCTGCCCCTGGGCATCCTCCTGCATCCCCCTGGTGCTGGGCTCACAGGTTCTGCAAACCTTCCTGAATAGGACAGGCCCTGAGACACAGCCCTCCAAAAGACAAGGGGACAAACAGCAGTTTCTAAATTTGCTTGTGCCAACAGAGAAGTGATAGGTACTAAGAGAGGAGCCTGAACATAACAGTCTTGTTACTTTTTAAAACACCTGGAAATTTTATTATATTTTGTTTTCACTTTTCTCTTATTAGTGTAAATTACAAAATGAAAACAAATACTACCAAAATTCAGAGATAGGTGTGATTGTCAAATTCTATTTAGGAAAAAAGAATATATCAATACTTGATGACAAAGAGCCCATTAAATCTTATTTACTAATGAATTTGAAAATATAGAAAAGGGGGGAAATTTCCAATATCATTTAAAAATTCAAATTATTGACTAATGATTTGTCACAAATAACAAAATAATACGTGTTGCTATATTCTAGTTCTTTGCAAGTTTAAAAACATATGCTTAGTGTTTATTTAGATAAGTTTGATGCTCTTCTCCTCTTCTCCTTCCCCACCCCATTTCTCTGTGATGCTGGGAATCGAACCTACAGTCGCAAACTCGTTATTTAAGTTCCCAAACGTTGAGTGACACCTTAGCCCCAACTGGTCAATTTCTAACAATAATAGTTTCTAATCTATTTCTAGGATAATTCTATATTCTTGGCAAAACGCTGCCAGAAGAAAAATAATAACAATATCTTGGTCTCTTTTCTTCTTAATAAATTAAAACAAACGAACAATTAAATTTAAAAAAAGTAACTGGCTGTGTCATTTTAAGAGCAAAATTTGCATATGTTAAAAAAGTTATTATACATACCTGCTTTGTGATAAGGATAATAGTCTATGGTCAGCTGTGTGAAAGAGAGCTGCATAGCACCTCCACTAACACGTCTACTTGACTCTGGGAAGAGAAAAAGAAGAGAGGGCAGGAGAGGGAAAGAAACACTAAGCAAATATTTGAAACACTGAATTTATCATTAAAAGCATTACAAAACTCAGATTCCAAGTAGCAATAACCCAAAAATTGTTAACTCTGGTTTGTAACAATTAATGCAACTTTTAGCATAGCTCCACAGTCCTCATCTGAAGCTTTGAAGCCAGCCCATGAGTCCGCTCAGCAGGTTAAACGCATCAGCAAGCCCGGCTCATAACCCGAGTTCAGTTCCCAGACTCCCAAATGCTGTCCTCTGACCTCCATGTGCTTGGAGCTATTTGTTTTGGTACTCAGAATTTTTGCTCTTTTGTTTTGGTGATTTGAAAGTGATATGGTACGTGCAAAGAACATGAGTTGTTTCTGAGGTAGAGCTCTGTCATAAAAATAGATTCTGCAACAAAACCTGCCAAATGGGTGACACAAACGTGGTAATAAAAGTGTCTCGATTACTTTTCACCACCTGATGAGGTTTTTGCAAACTGATGAATATTTCCGAGCCTTTAGGATTTCACAACAGAGATGTCACTGCAGAACGACGGTGTGGGAGACTTCACCCAGTGTGCTTATGAGGGAGTAATAGCAGAAATGCCAGAGCTTAGAAAATTCTAAGCAAAAACGCTGAGTTTCACCACCTCATTTGTTACTATGCTGCAACCGTTTTTTGGTTTTTCCTTTTCAAGCACTAAAGCAGAAAATGACAACTATAAACCAAAAGACACAAAGTGGGCTGTAGAGAGCCACTGGTGCCATTCCCGAAGATGGTGCCAGTTTCCTGTCCATAAGCCAGCCGGGCGCGGATGTGCGATCCACGTCATGGGGTGACCGTTACGACTGTTGCAGGCTGCAACTGTCAGTAACGGACACAGCTCCTCTGCAACTATCAGTAACGGACACAGCTCCTCTCTATAAGCAGAGCCCTTTTTCCTCCTCAGGGTCTTCCCTCAACTTGCTGTAATGAGCCGCGCAATAAACATAGCTGCAGAAGAATCCTGTTGTTGAGCATCGTTCTTGCAGGCAAGGCGATAGCGCCGGACAAGTGGTGCCGAAACCTGGGAACCTGACATCAGCGGCACAAGGGGGACCCTTCAGTCAGCTGGAGAGGATTCAGAACTGTGGCAGACAGGTAACAAAATAAGGTAAGTTCTGATAGACATGCTATCAGGAAAGCATGTCAGAAGCAGACCGTGAAAATAAGGTAAGTTCTGGTAGACATGCTATCAGGAAAGCATGTCAGAAGCAGAACGTGACTAAAAGTTGGGTGCGCCCAAAAAGAAAAAGGCTAGCAAAGAGCCCCGAGAGACTGATCAAAAAAATAAAAATAAAATAAAATAGAAAAGCAACAGAATAATAAAAAAAGCCACAGATGGAGAGAATCTGGATACTGTACGGTATTATATTGTCTTTGTATTGTTTGACTGCTGAGGAAACAACTGTTAAAGGAAATGTTGCTGGATTAATTCAATTTATATATTTTTAAAATGTTTTGACTCCAAAATTTAAGTTCAAGAACAAGTTACTGGGGAAAAGGATTTCTATTTTTGTTTCCACAGAAAATAAAAAGCTGTGGATTCCTTCCAAACTAATGTGGTTTGAGCAAGCCAGACCCCCTGAAATAACCACTGCTTTTGCAATAGCGCAGGTGAAAGCTCTTAATCGCCACGTGGTGAAACCATTTGGAAGAGTAATGCCACCTGGATTAGAGGTTGATGTCCTAGAGCCCAGGAGAGGGGTAACTCCACTATTCCCCAGCAACCCAGGTGGGCTCCTTATTGTAATCAAAACCCAGCTCAACGTTGAGCCTCTAATCCTTTTGTGTTTGTGATTAAGCAATAGCACCTTTGCAAACTCTAGTGAGAGAATGCTATATTGTACACCTCAAGAATGCTTCTATTCTTTATGTTGGGATGGAGGAAAATTTCCTTTGGCCCTTGTGACCAGAATGCCCAGGTACGTTCCCGTTCCGGTAGAGAGCCAAGCACCATGACCCTCTTTAGACAGAGGAGAGATTTTGGAATCACTGCTGCTATCGTGGTTGCCATTACAGCTAGAGTAGTGGGAGCCACCAAGGATGCCATTGCCAGGCATTCCATTGTTGACTGCAGTTGCCTTAAATAACCTGTCAGCGAAAGTAGCCACTGCTTAATTAAAAGGTGGTATTATGGTCTTAAATCAGCGAATTGATCTAGTTCAGGAACAGATTGACACTTTGTGGCAGCACAAATAGGATGGGAATGGAAGATGACAGGGCTATGTATGACCTCTGTGCCATATCAAAAGTCAAAAGCATGCCTCAATATGGGGCAATATTTGGAATGGAAAGCCATGTGGCATGATCTTAGCCAATCACAGGCCTCCATTGATTCACGATTAAAAGGAGGATTGATGGTAGTCAGAGAATTGATTTAGTGCAGGACCAAATTGACACACTCTGGTAGCTAGCCCAACTGGGCTGTCAATGGAAATATTCCAATTTATGTGTCACCAGTGTACAATATGAAAATTATACAAGAGCTGCAAACCTTTCTAAACAACTTTTTCAGTATCTTTTAGGTGAATGGACAGGAGAATTTGATAGCCTGATGGACCAACTTCAAATGGCCATCGTCCAATTCCACCCGTGTGGACGCCTCTCTATTAGAAGGATTGTTCTCCTGGATCTCCACTGCTTTTTCCCACTTTAAGGAGTGGGTGGGTGTAATGGGGTTTGGCCTGCTGTTATATGATGGGGTGGTGCTCCTGCTCTGGTTGGTGTGTAAGCTACGTGCTCAACAGACACATGACAAAGTGGTTATCGCTCAAGCCCTAGCTGCTATGGAGATAGGCTCCTCTCCCACTGTGTGGCTAAGCATGTTTAAAAATGGACATTAATTGTCCAATAGGACAGCCCTTGCACCCTGAGTCTTCTATGACATTGCACCAGGTTAGGGTATCCATTTTTTTTTTTTTACCAGAAACAGCCCTAATGCTCTGCGGGGGTTTTTCCCATTGCACGCAGACAGGTGCTTCTTTAGTTTAGCCTACTGTAATAAATTCTTCACGCTCAGGTTGTTTGGCTTAGCACTGCACTCCGTGTTGACTCTAGCCATGAGCAGCTCCGAGAAGGGCAAGTCTGGTTGCATGTGGGTTGGTGTCCAAGGCCCCACCTCCAGGGAAAAGATGACGGACGGGTATGGCACTGACTTGGCTGACTACCAGGATTCAGGGTCATTACAATGTCCATCTCATTACTGGAGATCAGACCACTACCCTTGCCTGTTGCGTTTATAAAACAAAAAAGGGGGAGATGTAGAGAGCCACCAGTGCCATTCCCGAAGATGGTGCCGGTTTCCTGTCCATAAGCCAGCAAGGCGCGGATGTGTGATCCACGTCATGGGGTGACCGTTACGACCGTTGCAGGCTGCAACTGTCAGTAACGGACACAGCTCCTCTGCAACTGTCAGTAACGGACACTGATCCTCTCTATAAGCAGAGCCCTTTTTCCTCCTCGGGGTCTTCCCTCAACTTGCTGTAATGAGCCGCGCAATAAACATAAATGCAGAAGAATCCTGTTGTTGAGCGTCGTTCTTGCAGGCAAGGCGATAGCGCCCGACAGTGGGCAAAGAAAGTGACAACAAATTCCTTTACACACCCCACTCTGCAACCCTCCCCCTTTCTCGCAGTAGTGGGGACTGACTGAACCTAGCGCCTGCACATGCCGTGTAAGTGAGCTATCCGGGAGATATATTCCCCCAGACTTGAAAGAAAGCTGGGAGAGGGTCTAATTAACCTGCCTACACTGGCTCTGAATTCACTTTGGGGCCCACACAGGCCCTGAATTTGTGACCCTCCTGCTTTAAGGTGCCAGTGGCTGGGATTATAATATATGCCCGCTACCCTTTTACCTGTTAGTCAACTCCTCCCGATTTCTCTGATGACTGTGGAATAATTCCTTCCCCTAAGTACCTAGGATACTTTCTCAGCTTTAAAAGCAATAAAATCCAAAGGATACTCTAGTATAGGCCTGAAAAACTCGGGTCAAATATCTCAATTTCTAAGGGATCTTCGCTTCATTCTAACACTCACCGAAACGATATGTCACTGTCCCTGAGGTAAGCCTGCCTGCTGAGCTCTCCCATCACTAGTGGGCCATTGGCACTGTGACAGAGAAGCAGAAACACCAAACACAGAAAGTGTGGAACTCAGATTTTCAAAATCCACGAGCACCTTCCTGCCGGCCCTGTTACCCTCGTCTACTCAATAGCGATAAATGCAGGGTTAGGGTTCGAACAGGAGTCAGGGTCTGTACGAAAAGCCGGGGAGACAGGGCAGGAGACACAACGTTAGAACGCTGCACAGTTGTCTCTATGTGTGCAAAGGACATGGGTTCAGGGCTGGAGAGATGGCTCACAGGATAAGACCACTCACTGCTCTTCCAGAGGACCTGAGTTCAATTCCCAGCACCCACTCAGCAGCTCACAACCATGTGTAATTTTAGTTCCAAGGGATCCACTTTCTCTTCTGGCCTTCAGAGGGACTGGGCACACACCAGTGCACAGACACACTTGCAGGCAAAATACCAATGCAACACAGGTTCAGAGACAGGTGAGTTAATTACAATGCTCACTACTGGTAAATATTTAATGAACAGACTGTAGGATAAAATTTATACATAATTTCAAAAGAAAATCCTAAGTTATTTTATTTAAGGATGCCATTTGTTATTGTTGCTGTTTTCAGACAGGGTCTGAAAATCTATGAAGTACTAGAAGGCTGGCCTCAAACTCACAGAGATCTGTTTGCCTCTGCCTTTCGAGCACTGGGAATAAAGGTGTGTACCACCACATCTGGCCTATTTCCAAACCTAATTTTACCGTTAGCATTGATACCCAACAGTTAATTAAACCAGTATTAAGTAAGACAAATAAAATAAATGTTTCATTTCTATACCAACCTGAGTGACATTTAATAGATACTACATACAATAAACAATAGTTTTGCAGTCAATTTATACAAAAGCCAAAACAGTTTGATATGATTACCTTTTTCTTTTGTGTGAATATCATCACAGATGTGTAGATCCAGATGAGAAATCACCAGGTGATGGGAGGTTTCCTTAACGTCATAGTCATTGAAGCATTTTACAATTGCATCGTTTAGATCGGGAACATTGGCAGCCTGTGGGGTCTTGACGTGCTGGGCAGATGAGGCTACCGTAGAGCTCTAAAGATTCCAAACCACACTATCACTGTCTGGTCACACACAAGCAGACCTGAATATTTCCAGCAATGAACTCATGAAAAATGAGCATATCAGTAGCTCAGCTGCCTTAAAATGCCTTCTGAATTATATAAAAATCTAGATTAAACAACTGGAGAACTATTCACAATCTGACTGTAAGCCCAATAAATTTCAGTAAATATTTGTACACATTTACATTGTTCAGTCATCGATCTGTGATTGATCTTCAATCAAAGCTGCTTCCTCCTCTCTGTTTCTTCTTATTGCTAACAAAACTGTGTGTTATTAAAAGCCCTCAGCTTCCTTAGCCGTAACTTCTGGGGGGATGTAGGTACTGATTTCAATCTGGACTGATGTGTCTTTCAAGGCGTTTTCACACGACCCCTAGACTGGCCCCATTCTCTGTCCTCCTCTTTAGCTGTCATAAGTTTGACTGAATGTCCCCATAGCAAAATGCCACTAGCGCCCCGATGCCAGCATATATGGATTCCCTCTTGTCTACCCATTCCACCTGTGCAGGAAAACTGCCCTGCTGCAGCCCAGGAGGCTGCTCCCACGTTTAAAATTAGGTGACACGCACCTCCCAGCACTCAGGAGGCAGAGGCAGGTGGAACTATATAAGTTCGAGGCCATCCTAGTCTATAAAGTATGTTCCAAGTCAGCCAAGGCTACATAGTAAGATCCTGTCTTTAAAAAACAAAAACAAAAAAGTAAACATAAACGAATCAGGCTCCCCAGGAAGTGCCACACGGATAAGCATTACAAAAGTGGCAGAATGGGACAAGACTCGTCATTAGCTCTATAGATGCTTACTTATTTTCCTGGCTATAAGCTCTGTGAAACTTTATTCACTCCAACAGGCAGAGTGGATAAGGAGACTGCTTTAAAAATGGAATTTAGTACTTCACACTCCAAATTACATGCTATGATTTACAATGTGCTTCACCATATGCTGTCACTTATTCCCAATAACCCAGTCCTATTTACAGTTCATCCTAAGGTAAGTTAGCAACTCTCCTGAGCTATTCAAAACAAACTTATGGAAGTCATGAGAATCATTCGTTTCCGGCAGGCAGCAAGTAGTTCAAATCTCCTGTCTTATTCCCAGAAGTATTTGTTCCTCCTGAACAAATCGATCACAGCCTGGGGAACTGGAAGAGGGTGCCTTCCATTTTTTAAGTAGGGTAAGTGCAATTCTGGCACGAGAGAACACGTGTAACATCCAAAGCAAGCACATTCTCAGGCGGTCAGAAGAAATAAAAAGCACATTAAGGTAGAAAGCTCAGGAACTGAGTGTAGAGTGTGTGCGTGCTGTGTGAACACAGGGTCTCTGTGCCAGTGTGTGTGCAGGTCAGAGGATAACCTCACCTTCCACCTAATTAATTTGAGACAAGATCTTTCTTTGAAGGCCAAGCTAGCTGCCCACAAGCTTCCGGACTCTCCTGTCTCTGCCTCCATCTTGCCCACTCCTGTCCGCACTTCCAAGCTTGGTACAGGGGCACTGGGACTAGAGATGCTCACATTACATCTGGCCTTTTTGTGGGTGCTGGGGATCCAAACTTGGATCCTACAGATGGTTCAGCAAGCTTGGTTCTTCACTTTAAGGCACAATCCCATTCCTTATATATGTTCCTTATAAAATCTCTCCAAATGCTGCAAAACATCAGTTTGAAACTTGTGTGCTCCTATCATTCCTCCAACCTCTTCTCTTCAGTCCTTCCCTTTTATGCTTACGTAGAAGTGAAGTATTTGTATTTTATCTTTGTAACATCCTGAGGTTCTGGAAAGCAGGATCACATATTTGTTTTTTCCATTGAAACAGGTACCTATGTGCGCTTGGGAGGAGGTAGGCAGTAAACATTGCCAACGTGAACGCCACTGAAACCCTACAATGTACGCCACTTGCATGCACCAAGCTCCATCACCAATGAGCTTAGATTGCTGAAAGATATTACTGTTAAAAAAACTTCATAGAAGTATGCTTTTATAACAGCTCATAAAATTTTACAACAGGAAGTTACGAAATTTATTTCTAATTTTAACAAAACAATCAAATATACTACCCATCAGAATTTTCCATGTCCCTTCTACTAAGATGTTTATGTATTAGCAATCAGAATTTAATACTGGTAACGACTGAAGAAAAAATGCTTTTTTATTCAGATAAATTGATAGTTCTGATTCCCTATCCTCAAACCACCACTGTCCACAGAAAATTCCAACAGAAGTTTTGTTTTCAACTTTGTATCTCCAAAAAGTTATAGCTATCTATGCTGCCAGCCTTCAATGCCTTCTCTTATGATACCCAAGTTTTATTTCTATTTCCCTTTACCTCAAAAAATTTAAACGGATTTTATTTCTCCTCCTGAACAGGATTATTGGGTGAGGAGATGACTCGGTGCATGAGAGCACTTACTATAACACAAGAACAAAGATTTAAGTTCAATTCTCCAGCACTCACATGAACGTGGGGTACTGCCAACTACAAGCACCGTGAAAGGAAGGGATGGGCTCACATGGGCTGACTGCCACTCTAGCAGTGAGCTCAGTGAGAGACTCTATCACAGCAGATAAGGTGCAGGGACATGAAGCGGGAGGCCCAATATACTGCTGTCTTCCATGCTCGCACGGAGTGCACACACAAGCATTACACCATCAAATACTTCTCCACTGCCAATCATTCTATGCCCTGTACAAAGACTTCCAAACAAAACAAGCACTAGACACACAGTAATGCCATAGATAACATTATACTGTAACTGATTTAGATACAGAAGATACTTGGTTTCAGTGTTACACTATTATCTAAAGGAAATACTGAGTTACACACTGTCTTTTTCTGAGACTCTGTAGCATACCTGTGTGGGTTCAGGAGCCATACTCTTCCTTTGTTCTGTTGATTTTTCTATTGCTTCACTAAGAGACTTTGCATATTGCACCATAGCCTTCAACTGGGAATCCGTTAAAACCCATAACAAATCATCCAGTATTAGAACCAACTTAGTTGCAATGACATTGCAATCTTTTAACTGTAATAAAAATGATTTTGAAAATTAAATCAAGAATAAAATATAACACACTTACATTTATTAAAAGCATAAAGTTTTTAATAGGATTAAATGTGGGTATGGATACTGCCTCCATTTAATTAAGTATTTAGGCCTTCAAGATGGCTCAGCAGGCAAACTCACTTGCCACCAAGCCTAATGACCTGAGTTCAAAGCTCAGAACCCACATAGTGGAAGGAGAGACCAACATCCCTAAATCATCCTCTGATCTCCACTCATAGCATGGCATGTGTGCCCATCCCTGAGAGATAAATAATAATGAAAATGTAACAAATATTTATTGAGTTTCTGTAAGATAGAAAATTTCCCAAAGCTAGAGATGATAGCTAAAAAAGACTGACAAGTTTCTGAAGTTATATAACATGTGTATAATTTCTATGTGTGGTTGACAAATCATAACCACTTCTATTAACTGAACTCATTCTACTTGAGAAAGTGGAATTACGATTTACCGGATACTGACACAAAGCACATTGCAGAGTCTTTAATTAGGCCTGTTTTTGAAAGTATCACCTCCTCATTCAATTTCATCACCATATCCAGTGGACTCTTAGGCTCCAATACTCAGAATGTTAGTTTCTTCATTTATCTAAGTTATCAGCAACATCTTTTATGTCTGTTTGAAATGGAGTCTCTATGTAACTAAAACTGGAACTCTTCCTTCCAAGTGCTGAGCTAAAGGTGTGTGCCACCATACCTTCCCTTCCAGCAAAATCTTAAAGATTAAAGTGTTGGCTACCAATAAAAAAAACCACTGTAGAGCAAAACTCAGTAAGAGAAATTTCTTCTTCTTCCTCCTCCTCCTCAACGTCTTCATTTTTTTCTCCTGGTTGTATTTGAGAACTGAACTCAGGGTCTTACTCATGCTAAGTAAGCATTCTACACAAGTTACACTCCCAGCCTGTGAAACGAAACTGTAAGATAATAATTAGTCAACAAATATCTGAATCTTAAAAAGAAAAAATTGACTGGAGAGATGGCTCAGCGGTTAAGAGAAATGACTGCTCTTCCAGAGGACCCATGTTCAATTCCCAGCGCCCACACAGCAGCTCACAGCTTTACATATATATATATATGTAAAACACCAATGCACATAAAATTAAAATAAATTATTAAAAACATAAATAAAAACCAAACCTTTGCGCACTTAAATGCTCATCTACCAGATGAGGAGTGCTGTAATAACTATGCGAGCTTTCCGCAAACTTGACTGTGCCGCCAGGCTCCCTCCATCTGTCAACACTGTCTGATACATCCCTCCAGTGTCACTGTTCTACCCGACCATCCCTGCCTATTTTAACACTAACACATGAACCAAAAAGACAATCACACTTACTCTTCTTTTAAGGGTGACTCTAATTTTTGACTGGTTGGTTATTAATCGAACAGGAGCACACATAATTTCGAGATGTGAACTTTGGGTAGCATCTGCTTCAATTCGAATCATCTGCCAATTTATTTCTTTAAATGTCAGAACCTAAGGAGAAAACAGAGATTAGGAGGGCATACTTACGCAAAATGAGGAAGTGTACATTTATGAAAGCAAATGAAAAATGTAGCTTCCCAACTAATTTTTGTGACATTCTAAAAGTACTCACCATGCTACCTGTATACTTCACCAGATTCAAAAACACACATTCAGGGTTACAGTCATCTGTACGGCAGCGACTTCACCAGATTCAACAACACACATTCAGGGTTACAGTCATCTGTACGGCAGCGACTTCACCAGATTCAACAACACACATTCAGGGTTACAGTCATCTGTACGGCAGCGACTTCACCAGATTCAACAACACACATTCAGGGTTACAGTCATCTGTACGGCAGTGACTTCACCAGATTCAACAACACACATTCAGAGTTACAGTCACCTGTACGGCAGCGACTTCACCAGATTCAACAACACACATTCAGGGTTACAGTCATCTGTACGGCAGCGACTTCACCAGATTCAACAACACACATTCAGGGTTACAGTCATCTGTACGGCAGTGACTTCACCAGATTCAACAACACACATTCAGGGTTACAGTCACCTGTATGGCAGTGGCACTTTCCCTTAGGAAACAGCATAAACAACAAGCAGCACTAGAATCATGACGAAAAGAGTGTCTGAATAAAATTCAAAAGGAGCTAACGGCAATTACTGTGAAATGCCGGCCTGAACTTCATCCCTGGAACCCACACATATAGGAGACATGTGACTCCACAAAGTCGTTCTACGACCTCCACATGCATGCCATGGTGCACACATACATACATACACACACGCACATGCACACACACAGACACACACACTTGCAAAGATATAGACACTTATATAGGCATAGACACACACAAATAGTCACACATGTTCGCACATGCATATACATACATGTACGTACACACATATACACGTGCTTGCGAAGACATACATACAGAGGCATACACACACACGCAAATTTTCAATTACTTCCATAAGGTGAAAGGTGTATATAGTAAAATATTAGAATACCAACATTGTATAATTAAATTATTTAGAATAATAGAAAGCATACTTATAAGTCCAGAAGAGAAAATCCACTACAATGTGATTCTGAACAACCATAAATGTAATTATTTTTTTATTTTAGAGAGAGACAGTAAATACACACCTAAGTATAAGCATGTGTACCATATGTGCATGTACCTATAGAGGCCAGAAAAAAGTCAGATTCCCCCTGTAACTAGTTACAGGTGTCTGTGAGTCTCCCAATACAGGAGGTCCTGGGAACCAAACTCAGCAACAGCATCAAGAATTAGCTGCCAAGCCATCCAGTTGTCTTTCAAATTGATTTTGTGTGTATGTGTGCTTACGTGTGCATGTGTGTGCCTCAGCAGGAGACTGTTCTCTCCTTCTATCCTGTGGCTCCAGGGATGTAATTTAGGCCATAAGGCTTAGCAGCAAATACCATTACCCACTGAACCATCTTGCCAATCACTGACTGTTACCTCTCCTCTCTGTGGGTCTTGAACACGAGTAGATCTCAAGTCTGCATGTTCCCAGTGTGTGTTGACACTATAGATTCGGAGCTGAGAAAGTTCAAAGGAGGCATTGAAAGCTTTTGCTCCAATCCTGATGACAATGGAATTCACAGAGACAGTGATTCCCTCAACCACTTTTTCAGCAAAGCCATATTCACTGGGCAAAACAAAAACAAAATAAAGTCATTAAAATGATGCTAATAGTCTCACACAGGTCCACATATGCGATTCCCTAATATCTACCTCACATTTCTAAAGAAATAAGTCTTACTATATACATTTTTCTACTTTTCTTTCCCTCTTTCAATAATCATAAGTATTACTCATCTTTCTCCAATTCTTTCAGATGCTAACCAATCTAAAAAGAAACTACAAAATATAACATTGAATCCATACTATAAAATCTCAAAAGTTTCTCGACAGAGGAGAAATTATAAAGTTAACATGACAGCCTGTCACTGTCACTTACGGTCCAAATCTAAGCTCTACAGCCCATGAACACAGCTCCCCCACCATCTCAGCATGGGAAGGATGACATCATAGAGACACGCCACGCGGGGAGCAACAGGTCAGCCTGAGCTGGCTCTCTCCTTCCCGTGTGCATCCCGGAGCCCTCATCTGGTAAGCCAGTTCACCGGCTCCTACACAAGTAATATTTTTAAGATGTACTTTTATTTTATGCATATGAGTATTCTGCCTATATGTATGTAAGTACACAGAGGCCAGACAATGTTCGAGCATGAATTTCAGAAGGTCATGCACAGCTGGCATGACCTTGGGTGCTGGCAATCTAATCTGGATCCTCTGCAAGAGCAACAAGTACTCCTGGGCCATCTCTCCAGCCCCATAAACAAGTTATTCTTAAAAATCTATTTCAACTTTTCAATAAAGCTCTATGAAATAGTCCACATGCTACTATCTTTTTTCTTTCTTTCTTCCTTTTCCAGTTTTTTGAGACAGGATTTCTCTGTGTAGCCTTGGCTGTTCTGGAACTCACTCTGTACACCAAGATAGCCTCAAAAGAATAGAGATCCACCTGCCTCTGCCTCTCGAGTGCTTGGTACCAGCCAAGATACCAATTTTATAGTACACCCAAAGGTCTCTGTAGACCAGGCTGGCCTCAAACTCATAGAGATTTACCTGCCTCTGCCTACCACATCATTTAACTTTTAGGAATAACAAAAGCTCATAGGAAATGAGGTGCAAAGAAATATTAATACTCTAAGACCCCCTAGTGGTTGCCTGAATAATCAAAGAGCAAGTATAACAACACATGGTAACAAAAGTTATGAGAGGCTGGGCAGTAGTGGCACAAGCCTTTAATTCCAACGCTTGAGAGGCAGGTGGATCTCTGAGTTCAAGGCCAGCCTGGTCTACAGAGCAAGTTCCATGACAGCTAGAGCTATTACACAGAGAAACCCCATCTTGAAAAACCAAGGGGAAAAAAGTTATGAGAATATGGATATTCTTAAGATAATTTTGTTTTTAAACAGGATCTCAAATAGGCAGCCAAGGTGACCCTGAACCCCTTATCCTTCCGCCTCTGCTTCCTGACGGCTGGGATTCCAGTCATATGTTATAATGTAATACTGCATAAATCCAGGGCGTGGAGCATGCTAAGTAAATATTCCATCTACTGAGCGACATCCCCAAGTCAAAATATCCTTTGCTTAGCACACCCTTCTAGTAACAGTGTAAAAAAATATGTAGGTTTATACAATAAGAGTAAATAAAACAAACAGCTTATATATTGTGATTTTTGTGAGCATTACTAGGTAAAACAAGGCCCTGATACCTGACAGATGAACAGATGACCCAGGCAGCTGCCGAAGGACTAACTGCCTGTACAGCACAAACACACTGGACAAAAGAATGATCCGTATCTGCAGCTAAATTTCATTCTTTCATGACATTTATAATGGAATAGATTTTCAAACTTATGAATTATTTATTTCCAAAGTTTTCCATATAGTATTTTTAGACTGTCACCAGTCACAGCTAACTGAATACATGGCAAGTGAAACCACGATTAACTATAGGAATAAAAAATTAAGAGATATCTGACTTACAGAATACCTAAGTTCTTCCACACTGCCCTTGGCTATTCATTACTATTTAACAATATGATAATCAAGAGAAATGATGAATCTTAAAAATAACCTGCTACTAACTAACTGTGGAGGCTGTAATAAGGAGGTGGCGTAAGCAGAGGCTATCTGAGGTGAAAGAAATTTATATTCTTCCTGTCCTGCTGCTGCAGATAAGAGCACTGCCATAGAGAGGAACACACTGTGACAGCCACACAGAGCAGAGGGCATGGCTTACCTCTGTCCTGATGCAGTTGCAATTGGTGATGGACCGTTAGGGGCTCGTGGCTCTTCACACGTACTCATTTCCATGACGACTTTATCTAGAGACTAACAAGAAATTCAGGAGTCAGACACTGATGTGCACTGTGGAAGCATGAAGTGCATTTTCTCTTTCATTTATTTAGGCACAAAGCAAACAACTGTAAAAATGCGAACAGGAAAAAAGCATTGAGTCCTCCCTGAGGCACTGATACCCTGGAGGGAAAGGTTACATACACACTCTGAGGGTCTGGGGGAGAAAACACAGAAGCAGCCACTAACTGATGAGGCCACTAGGTTTGATGGAAGCATAATCTCTAGTCCCATTTGTATCATCTCATTACCGATAAAGTACATATTAATGAATGGGACTGAACTGCATCGAAAGGTCTTATCCTGAGACTAAACAAAATATGAAATGAGCAGAGGAAACACTCCCATAAGAGGAGAGTTATCTTTTCCAAATAGTTATTTTCTTGAGATGTATCTAATGCCTGTAATAGTGAGTATTATCTAGAACATCCTTTTATATTTTAAATACAGCATGCATCACTATCTGAAATTGTCTTATTTTACTGTTTATTTGTTCAGTCAACCTCTGTTAAAATACACATTTCTTCAGCTCAAAAAAAAAAAAAAAAAAAAAAAAAAAATGTGATTTCAGCCAGGCAGTGGCGGTGTACACCTTTAATCCCAGCGCTCAGGAGGCAGAGGCAAGCGGATCTTTGTGGGTTCACAACTAGCCTTGGTGTACACAGTGAGTTCCAGACAGCCACAGGGCTACACAGAGAAATCCTGTCACAATAAAACAAACAAACAAAACAGGTGGTTTTATAAACAATATTTATCTAATGAGGCTAGGCTAGGGGTAGGAATTAACACGTTCAAGTACACCAATTCAGTCTAGAACACCACCCCAACATTATGGAATAAATGACTGGTAAAAAGGATGGCTCAGTTAGAAACACCTGCCACAAAATGTGGACAGCCTAGGCTTCCAGCTGAAACTTCCGCATGCCCGCCATGGCACACACACAGATAACAACACTTAAAGGGTTCACCGCAATGAAAATCTGCTAGTAAAGCTGATTGGACAAAAGACCAACGTCACGAGGGCAAACGTGATGGAGAGTCGAAAAAGACAGAGAAGCGGTTTGTTTTGTTTTGCTTTTGTTTGTTTGCTTGCTTTCATCTGATTTGATTTTTTTTTACTTTCTTTTGGGGGAGCCTGCAAGGCTGAGGGGAAGATCTGGGTGGCACTGGGAGGTGAGTGCACTTAGGGAACATGATATGAAATGCCCAAAGAATCAATAAACAAGTTACGTTAAAAAAGGATTAAATGATCTATCTATTTACTCAATTTTCTTTACACAGTGAAGTACATTATAGAGCATATGACTAAACTTACTGGACCAAGGAGAGCAAACACACAGAAAGTGTGACTGAAGTAATTCTATAATACGTCAGTGAAGAATTACAAGATGCAATATGCCAACTGGATACAATGTTCTAGAAATAAAAACTTTAAAATCCCTCTAAATTTAAAGTTCAAGGTTCTCATATAACAGCAGAAAAAAAATTAATCCCCCCAAAATTAGAGCAAAAATAGATTGAAAGTCCAAGAAACAAAATACTAATATTTATAGAACAGTTAATTTACACGTGTAAATGCTTATTTTTGAAACAATTTCAGTACTCACCAAACAGATGGGATGTGTTTTCAATTTTGTCCATGGAATCTACAAATAAAATTTTTTTCTTTAAAACGAATTATTAAAAATTAATATGAAATACTAATCAACAGACATGTCTGTATATAGAAGATAGGCAGCAACATCTCTCTAAAAATTATTCAACTATTGAAATCTGAGTATCTATGTTACATAGGAAAAATCATTGAAATTATCTAAATAACTTACATTTTTAACAGTCCTTAAGATACATTTTAATTACATACTTTAAAATTTTTCCAGTAAAGCATAACTGTTCTGCTTATTAATTGTTTTAACCTTAGAATTCCAACCAGTATTTTTGCAGCTTTTCAAAATAAATTCAAATTATTGATGGAAAATGCCAACTACAACAAAGAGACAATGTTTCAAATATACCCAGTCACATCTTTGTTAATATTTGGGTCATAGACCCAAATTAACAATGAATACCAAAGGATACAGAACACTTTTCTGAAGGAAATACAAACTTTATTTTTATTTTAAAAAAAAATAAAAACACACATTCGCATGAAATGTCTCTCCCAAGCAACCTCTCAACCTAAGCTTGGTCTCTAACAGCAAGAAGTTATACGTAATGACATAAGATTAGAAACAAATGTCAGTAGGATAATTTGAACAATGTTAACAATAATAAAGTAAGTAGAAATCCTTTGTAATTCTCAAAATTACAAAGAAACTCATAAAAGGAAATAACACTCTAAAATACCATGATGTCTACAGTAATAAATGATCAATCTTACCTTTAAAATGAAGTATTATAAATTTAAATCGTTTCAATTGACAATGAATCCTGAGGGGGAAGGCCTACCACTGAATTTATGCCAAAGTGAAGTAGTTAATTTATAACAAATTAATTGTATTAAAGTATCGATAAAATTGTTTTAAACAAAACATAAAAACAAGTTATTAATATACTACCTCAATTGCACTCATAAGGGATAAATGATCATTTAGGCAGCTATTTTCTGTGTAAATTTTAGGAGTAAAATGCTTCCTTATGGAATGATGTGAGGTTAAATGTTTATTTTAAAGGGCAGAGAAGAAACAAAATCGGACAACATGAGGAGAAGTCTCCTCAGACACCTTACCCTGATGGATGCTTTATTACAGAACACTTTGTTGATAGCCAGCCATGTAGGCAGATCCAGCATGTTCTGGAGCACCTCCTCATCCAGCTCCAGGTTCTTTAGTTCTCCTTCTCCCTTCAGGGTGCTTAGGTTGATTTTGTCAGGAGACAAGTTTTTGGTGAATCTGAAAGAAAACATAAGTTACATTTATTTTGGTGTTAGTTAATGTACCCCACACCCTAGCTAATACAGAATATTAAAATGGAATAGCAACACTAAATACCAGAAGACCACACTGACTGGATTTATTTTACCCATGTCCACCGTCTTTCATTGTTGCTTTGATCTCTCATAGCCACAGCTCCCTGATATTAAGTCTACAATTTAGGGGCATATTCTTATAAACAGCTGGTTCTTACTACCTGTCAAAGTGGATGAAAATGTAGTAAGTATATACCACTGGTTTCCAGGCATTATGTAAGGCCCTACCATTTTGTTCACTGTAGACTCCATCACAGAGGAGAGGCGATGCTATGCTATTAATCCAGATACAAGGTAAGGGAATTGAGGGGACCTTCTAACAGCAGCTGGCATGGCAGCAGATGTCAGTCATCGTCCTCAGAGCAATGTTCAAAGGTCCCAGTATTCCTCTCACATCACCTGGCTACTCCCAGCATTGGAAACCAACCCAGTACTTCAGAAATAAACCCTGGCACATACATAGTGTTTGTAAGCTTCTCAGGAGCAAATTACACAGTTCCACTTACAAGTTGATTCCAGTGTCCTCGAGGTAACTTCTTTAAAAATCGAGCATTTTAAACTCTGCGTTAACTGTAGCAGCACCCACTACTGTCCTTTCTAGGTTTAGCAACAGGAATTCAGATAGTGGAAATGCAAAGTACTTATGAACGTGCTAGAAGCGAAAAGGACAATAAACCTTGAAAGGCACATGAACCAGTCAAAGATGGCGCCGAGGGGAAGTCAAGAGGGCGGAGTCCTGAGATGTTTACAAAAAAGGGTGATTGGTTGCCAAGGTCAAACCAAATGAGGTCACTGCATGAACGAATGGCTCCTGTTCAGTAGGTAAAGCATAGGGCGCCTAAGCCCATCATAGGTTGACCTTTAAAACCATTAGCCGGCTGTTATCCTGACCTGCAGCTTTTTGCTTTAAAAGATGCTTGCTATGGGGCAATAAATGAATTCCTGCTTGACTGACTGTCTCCAGGATCCTGGGTAGCGGGGGAACGGGCAAGCTGTGTACTTACCCTTCCTCAGACCCAGCTCAGCCTTCTATGGTTGGGCTAAGACCCTGCAAACCTTGACCCGTAATTAAAACTCTTTATTATCTCTTTTTCTAAGAAGATTTCTTTAAAGGTTTGAAGTATTAAGGGCTGGGGATGTGCTCAATGGTCAAGTGCTTGCCTACCATGCGTTTGATTTGTTCACATGGCTTTGCAACCAACAGTTTTTGCAATGAAGCATCTATACGAGTTATCTGTGGACCTTTCCTATTTTCATTTTTAATTTCATCTCTGCTTCTTAACATATTGCTTAAGGTACTTCAACAGTGCATTTTATTGGTATTTTTAATTAGAAACAAGTTAATATAATAGCGAATGTGTTATAAGAGTTTACACAGGATGGGGGAGAAAGGAGTGGGGTTCAGATCTCAGCACCTACAATACGCAACTCACAAACACTTGTAGCTCAGGCTCCAAGAAATCCACCACCTTCTGCTGGCCTCCACAAGCACACCCCCGCCATGTGTTCATGCATTCACACAAACACAGTTCACATATATACAAGTACAATCATAAATTAAAGTCTTTTGTAAAGTGTGTATGTGTGTGTGTGTGTGTGAGAGAGAGAGAGAGAGAGAGAGAGAAGAGAGAGAGAGAGAGAGAGAGAGAGAGAGAGAGAGTTACAGACAACTGTGAGCCACCTGATGTGGCTGCTAGGAACTGAACTAGTGTCTTTGGGAACAGCTAAGCCATCTCTCTAGACCAGTAGCTCTCAAGCTTCCTAATGCTGTGACCCTTTACTACAGTTCCACACAGGAGGCAGGACAGGACTCCACGACATTGTCCTCTGACTTTCATATAAGCATGTGGTACCAGTGCGCCTCTCACCCATGCATACACATCACACACAATAATAATGAATGAGTATTTTTAAAGCCCTGTGACTGTGACTGTGGAGAACTGGAATATTCCATTGGGAGCAAAATTATCTTGGGCTAGCTAAGCCTCCTAACATCCATTCACTGTCCATGTCTGTGTTTCACTTGATGCCCTGTAACTCTTGGGTAAATCCATGGGAATGCACAGAGACCACTCAGTTCCACCAACCCAAAGACTAAGCATGTCATCACACATCATGCCCAGCCTACAGCAGAGATCTCCTCCACTCTGCTGTAATCTGCCTACCTAGTGTCTCCACAAATGTATTTATGTGTCTTGGTTTAAGGTTTTCTTTGCTTTCTTTACTTCAAATGCTTCACGAAACTGCATCATGCTGGAACATGGTATTTGGGGTACCCTAAGTCTGTGACCTGGGCCGTGGTCCTGACAGCTGTGATTTGTTTGTCAGCACTAGGAAGGTCAATGTTCATGGAGACCAAAACCAATAATCACTGTCATAAAAGTATTACATTCCACATTCAGAATTTAGTACTCAATCTCAAGAACAACCAGAAACTAGTGAATAATTACATAAGGATGGAAAGTTGCATGTTACACATATTTAAGCACATCTCACCCTTTGGAGTAGCTTTGCCAGACTGACCAACAGCAGCTTCTAGGAACATCATTCTTTTCTTTCTTATCTATCTATCTATCTAGATAGATATCTACCTACCTACCTACCTACGACAGGGTTTCTCTGTGTAGCCCTGGCTGTCCTGAAACTCCCTCTGTAGACCAGGCTGGCCTCAAACTCACGGAGATCTGCCTGCCTCTTATCCCAAGTGCTGGAATTAAAGGTGATTAAAGACCTGCACCACCGCTGCCTGCCTACCAGGCTGCCATCTCAAGTCCCAGAATGCCTAGATCTTCCTCCACCAAGCAAACTCTACTAATATTTACCTTTTTAATATACAGTGTTCTGTCTGCATGTGTGCCTGCAAGCCAGAAGAGGGCACCAGATCTCATTACAGATGGTTGTGAGCCAACATGTGGTTTCTGGGAATTGAACTCAGGACCTCTGGAAGAACAGACAGTGCTCTTAACCTCTGAGCCATGTCTCCAGTCCTCTACTTCTCTTTTATGGTGTGGTACTATAGTCTGGATGGTGAATGTTTCCCATGGTGTGATACTGAGACACTGAAGAGGTGGGACCTACCCGGGCAGTGGTGCACAGGTCTTTAATCCCTTTAGTCCCAGCACTCCGGAGGCAGAGGCAGGCAGATCTCAGTGAGTTTGAGGCCAGCCTGCTCTACAGAGAGAATTCCAGGACAGCCAGGGCTACACAGAGAGACCATGCCTCAACATAACAAAACAAAACAAAACAAAACAAAATAACGACAAAAGAGGCAGGGCCTAACAGAAGCATCACAATGACTTAGAGCTGCTGAGAGAGAGAGAGAGAGAGAGAGAGAGAGAGAGAGAGAGAGGCTAAAAACATGAAAACCCTGACAGCTGGGCTCTCGTTTGGCCTGTCTGAAATTTCAGATGTGATCCCTGCTGAAATCTGCACACAGGCAAATCAATCATTTAAGGAGTAGCTGCATAAAGCTGGTAATACAAGTTTGATCAGCCTTAAACATACTCATCCTCTTTCAACTCCTTCCGGATTAAGGTCATCAAGATAAAAGGAAAAGTATTTTCAAGATCTGCAAGGACATTCAAAGGTTAGTTTTTTATCTCAGGTTCTACCTGTCCTGGAGCAGCATCTAGAAGCTTCTGGTCTTTGTTCATAACTTGAAGTCACCTTAGAACTCAGAGACAGATTTTCAGGCAGCTCCACGGTGATTCTGCCTTCCTCCCTTTACCCTCATTTCCCACTCTACCCCCACCAAGTCGGGTGGGAGGGGGGGACTACTCTCTATTGACTTCTCTAAACCCTGGAAAATCCAGAACCGAGATGAGGGCCAGTTAGTCCACCATGTGACAGACTAATTCATGCTCCCCTCACCCCTGATCTAGCTAACTCTCTTGTTCCCGCTCCCACTCTCTCTTACTCCTGGTTCAATTGCTTGTTCCCAACATATTCTCCTGCCTTTGCACCTGGTGATGCAGCCAGGGATCAATCCGGAGTCACTTGGACCTGAGTCTTCAAAGCTAAGTACTTCCCACGTAGCCTGTGTCAGGTTCTCTGACACAGTGACAGACTGCCAGCTAAAAGACTCAGAAACACTCCCAACTACTCCAAGCGGTCAGCCTACTTCCGGATGGTTTGCACTGTAACAACAGCACCAGTTATCAGAAGTTGACACTTCCGTCAAGGACTGTTTTGAATAGTTGTATAGACTTCATCTCAGCTAGTAACTCTCTGAAGTGTGTATAATTACAGCCTGCATCCTAAAAGTGGAGAGGCTGGGCTGGCAAGATGGCTCAGCAGGTGAAGGCATTGCCACCAAGCCTGAGAACCTGGGTTCAATGTCTGGAAGCCACATGGTGGAAGATGAGAACCGAGTTCTGCACGCTGTCCTCTACCTGCCACATTCACTCTATAACACATGCACATACATACACACAGCAAGTAAATCAATAAATAAACAAATTTTTAAAAATTTAAGTGGAGAAACTGAGTCATTTGGAAGTTAAATAAGGGGCTGGATAGATGGCTTGGTGTTACCCTTCAGAGAACTCCGGTTCAATTCCCAGCAACCACCTGGCAATTCACAACCACCTGCACCTCCAGTTCCAGGAGATCCAATGCCCTCTCCTGGCCTTACTGGGCACCAGGCATGCACACGTGAAGGCAAAAACCCATACATATGAAATAATGAAGTATTTTTTTACTTTTAAAAATGTTAAATAACATGCTCACAGACATACAAAGGGCTACGGCCAGGAACTAAATCAGGCACTCCGGTTTGTGAGCTTTAACGATGATAAGAAGCCAGAAATACACACTTGAGAAAAAGACAGCATCTTCAAAAAGGGTGCTGGTTAAACCAGAAGTCTACACATAAAAGAATTCAAATAGAGCCAACTTATTGCCCTGCCCAAGACTCAACTCCAA